TTGTCAATTACAGATGGCCGGATAAGTTGCACATCAACCTGCAATTTACGCAGACAATAGAAATATCAGTAAACTTATAAAATTATATTTTCATATGCCTAAGATTATCATTACAAACTGAACTAACCTCACGGTTTTCGAAGACTTGGCTCATGAGCTCATAAAAACGCGGCAAAGTGTTGCTCCTCCAATGTAGTATACGAGGGATGTAGGCATTATGTTCGTGCACCACCAAATGTAGTGCAGCCAACGCTGGAAATACCTCATAAGCCCAAATCTGGTTTGAGGAAGAAAAGCCTTAGAGATCACATGCTATAACCTTAAATAGGGCATGAAAAGCCAAGAATACAATAAAGAGAAATAATTAGCATGTATTAATTGCAGTCTAAACCTTGCCCTATGATTGACAAAAGTTAAACGAAATACAGCCATCTAGAGATGCATAGAGGCTAAAAGTGGTTCGGGCCACATTAGTCATTAGTCTAAGAGCATTCAACACAAATCAGGAAAAAAGATTATTTCCTAATATCCAATATCCCCCACTTACATAAGGGGGTGAAAATGTAAACTTGTTTTTCTGACAACTTATTTCTATAATGAGGTCATTAGTGTTAACTTAGGGTTGTTGATAGAAAAACACGGGGCTCATCATCAATATTAATGATATAATATTCAGCAAAAACAGAATAATATTACTAATTAAATAAAATAAAACCTTCTGTCCATTTTCTATTCTTGAATTCCCTTCTACCCCTGACCCCCTCCCTTGAATGTTTCTCCCCTTTCCCATCAATTTTTTAACTTTGCAAATTATTATATTTCTTTGTAGAATTCTTTTTTTAAATACCACAGCCGCCCAGAACAGCCACCCAATTTGCTCTCTCTCTCTCTCTCTCTCTCTCTCTCTCTCGCTCTCTCTGTCTCTCTCACACAAAATATCTACCAACACACACACACAAACACAATATCATTAGTCAAAAGAATCTGTCAAAAAACAATAACAGTGGACAGAGTTCCTTTTATTCGTCTTCATCCTTCAACAACTAAACCAATCAATCCCCCAAATAAGTAATAATTACAGAAAATAAACATGAACAAATGATGTTTTAGCTCCTCCAATGCAGCTCTCTCTCTCTCTCTCTCTCTCTCTCTCTCTCTCTCTCTCTCCCCCATTACTGTTTTAGAACCCATTACTGTAAACAAATGATATTTAACTTCAACAGGAATCGAAATGTGCTCACCTGAAGTGCAAAGGCAAAACCCTTCAGGTGGTACTCTCTTGGTCTACCAGTTGCCGTTGTCTTTACTTGCTTTTCAGATTTTTTTGTTTTCGAAGCTTTTTTGGGCCCTTTCACTCGCTGGTAATCTGCACACAGTGCCCTCAGCAGTGACGCATTTGTCTTCGCATAAGACACAGCACCCCATGGATATTTCCCAAAATCTTCAAGGTCTTCCGCCAACTTCAAATATCGCATGTCAATGTGGACATGTTTTTCACTGCCCAACAGCACAAACACAGCGAAGTATACAAAGCCGAGCTTCAATGCATCATCCGCATCAGCGCAGTCGCGGAAGGCTTTTTCTAATTCCAACAGGCTCACTGTTTTATTGTTGCCAAAATACTTCCTTTTCAATGAGCAGTTGTCATTACTGGGAATCGGAATAAAGGGAAGGTTTCCAAACCTTAGCCCTGTGACGACGCAAAATTGCTGGGGTGTGAATTGGATCACCTTATTGCCAACAATGAATTTGATCCCGTTCACTTGGGAAACAGTCTTCGGATCAGCTTTCCTCAGCAACAATCCGTGTACAATTGGCGACGTCCACTTCAGGTCCTCGATGAGTAGGAGATGCCCAAAACAACTCTGTTCGAAGGTTCGTAGCTGTTGCTCACTGAATTTCTCTTTTATCGTACTTATTGCACTCTTTGTATGGGATAGCGCCAATGCTTTTCCTTGGAACTTTTCTTCCTCTCCAATCATCAACTTAATTGGCGAAACCATGTTTCCCTGCACGGCATTATTATTAAGAAAAAATTCAGTCCGTTGCAATCTGGACAATAACAAGCAATACACAATTCAACGGCCTATTATAGGATATTAAGTGAAAATTAAACACAAATTACAGCACATGAACCACAATAAATTCCCACACTAAATATGCATCATAAAATGAAACTGAAAACACGCATCACAAACGAACCAATCCTACATGACAAATAGCAACTTGAGGCACTTCGTCATCCATAGCATGAAAATCAATCAGACCAATAGAAGTTTCATCCAAGCATGAAGTAATTCACAGTTAAAATACAGAAATTTGCAATCTCTCTAATTACTAAACTTCACAAAATCAGTCACAGGTTAGTGAAATGATCCTTTTAAAATGAAAACCGTACAAAAAGACAAACTAGTCAATAACAAATACAAAACCTACCTTAGAATCACTCGTTTTGCACACAGACCCGAATTGGAAATCGCAGAAACACCTAAACAAAAGCTCGAATTCTGTCTGTGAGAGGATTGAGAATGAGGAGGAAGTATGTGAAAAAAGTCGGAACCGAAACCAAGAATTTGGGTTTTTGAGGCCCTGAAAGAGCAGAGAAGAAGAGAAAGACGTCCATTGAAAACATGAAAAGAGAGGGAACTGAGAGATTGTTGAAGGGAGAGAGCATTTAACGAAGCAACCCTCTCTTTCACCTTCAAGAACCCCCTCAACAAACCCTAACATTGACTGCAAAGAGAGAAAGAGAGAGTGCCATTATATTTTCCCACTTCCTTCTTTTATATTTTCTCTTCACAAGGCTTCCTAAAAAATGCCATTAAACTACTTGTCTCTCACTCAGTTTTTCATGTGTCCTTCAAATTACTTGTCTCTCACTCCAATTTCTGTCTCACAAGGATTTAAGTCTTTACCTTACATGATCATTGACAATTAACTAAATATCTACAGACACATCTCCAAACACCAGATAATCATGACAGCTTAAGCTACAATAGGAATGTGCAGTAGCAGAAGCCTAATTCAGAACAATTCAACAAGAAGACATCAGGAAACAATTTATTGACTTCAACGTATAATGTCATGGAACATCCTATCAATTAGTGGCAACCACAATCATGACTCCAATATGCCCTCCTTTCAAATGTAAGGAAATTAATGAAATTGGCACCATCCCTTCAGTTTTTCCTTAACAAAATCAGAGGTTTGTATGTATTGTATGTGTTATCAATATCAAAGATAAATGAATAAATAAACCATCAAAACTGTAAAAAATGTTTCTTACACATGTACAATTAAAAAATTAAAAGTTCACCTCATAAACAGAGTTGTCTAACTATCCATACACAAAAAAGACAAGCAAAAGCTTAAAGAGTTAGCTTATAGCAAAATCCATGGCCCCATTTCTCTAAACCACACCTGCTGGTGGCATGTTCCCATCTTCACTCATTTCCCGCTTTGTTTTAAGCATACAATGATCAAGCACAAAACAGCAAACTTTTAAAGAACTCATATTACACCACATATGGTTCCTTGCCCTTTGTTTAGACATTGAATATTCATCCCCAAACTGAAATTCCAAATAATCACAAGAGAATATGAAAAACATAGAGAACTTATCCATATCCAATATGCAAGCCCTTAAGTTAGCAAACAGAGTTAAAGCAAAACCAATTTTAGTGAAACCCCTAAACCCTATACCCATTTCAGAAAACCCACTAAACCAATTTCAGAGAAACCCCCAAACCCTAAACCAATTTCAAACAACCCCGTCAACCAATTTCAAACAAACCCATAAACCCTAAGCCGTAAAAGAATTCCGATGAACAGTACCTGTTTGCTGTGAATGATGGCGTTGTTCTTCGATGCACAGATTTCGCTGGGAGAGGAAGACAGAAGCGAGAGTGACAGCTGAGCGACGAGAGATGAGAGAGTTAGAGCTGAGAGACGAGAGAGTGAGAGCAGAGTGACCAGAGAGTGAAGATGAAGAGACTGAGCGACGGAGAGCTGATGGGCGGGAGGTCAATTTCAGAAAATGTGTTAGGAGAGCAATAAGGGTACAATAATTTTCTATTTATAGTTGATAGTTATAAAAAAATTGGGAAGGGATGGTATTTTTAGTTAAAATTATTAAAGGGGTGGCACTGAGGGTCATTTCCCAACAAACTCCCACAAGTTTCAGTCCCTTCTCCTACCACCTCTCTCTCTCTCTCTCTCTCTCTCTCTCTCTCTCTCTCTCTCTCTCTCGTATAAATTCCATCTCTACCAGTTCTTGAATTTGTGAACAACTCTTCTTAATTTGGGGGCTCTACCATTCTGATACAAATAGGTTATAGCTAGGTTAATAAGGCTGATAGTAATTATGATATTAATTTGTGGGTGACTAATTTCTCTGCCTTTCACATTCATGTTCTTATGTTTAATTCTGATCTTTGGTTTACTGTGGAAATGCTTCAGAGAGACAAACAAAGCCATAATAAGAAAAGGCTGCTACTTTGAAGACAAAGTAGGGAAATCAACTCCAAGAATGTATGAAGACACAGTAGGCTGCAACTTTGATCCAAACTCCATGCCAGAATCTGCAGAAACTGTGCTCAACGTCAACCCCCGCCACCACAAGTTCTCATGCCTTCTCCTTCAGAGACCCACAAAAACAACAACTTTGCTGTTGCACAAAACTTGAGACTCTCCATTGAAGAGATCTCCTACCCTCGTCGACAAGATCATCATGCTGCCATGGAAATTGAGCTCCAAAATGAACTTGGGTCACCAATACTGACCAGAACAACAATAGCAGCCATTTGCTTTCCTTTGAGCAACAAACCAATTGGGACACCGCCGGAGGAGTGGACACACCGCCAAGGACAATGTCTTCAGTTTTCTATAACCCACTTTTGCATTTAAACCTGCCTCCGCAGGCACCATTGCATAGGGAGTTGTATTAGTCTTTGTTTAGTAGTGGTGGGGATGAGAGAGAGGGGATTGGAGGAGTGGTTTACTCAGATGGGATTAATAATGGGAGGCAATTTGAGAATGGGGTGTTGGAGTTCTCCAGAGAAATGGGTTCTTTGATAGGTGCTTTTATTGTGGTCGATGGAACCGCACCTTGAGCACTTTCTTGTTCTGCTGCCCTCTCGTTGTGAGGGAATTCTCAGCTTTTTCCGTCTGCCTAGCATGACCTTCGCCATGGGAGGTAACACAACTCGACTTCGGACATCTTCAAGAATAACCCACATTCCCTGAGGCTGTACCAGGTAGATGCTATCCGAATAAGCATTCAACCAAGTATTTCGAGTGTAATATTGAGAAGCCTTGGAGTATACATTTTGGTTCAAGAAGCGGCAAACTGCAACGACATGCTTGCAAGGTAGTTGATCAAGCTGAAACTTCCTACAACTACAACTGTTGTTCATCATATGTACGAGGCCGTCCAGATCACCATCCACAACATTATACTGTACTTTATTTAGTTTAACCACATTCATCCTCGAAGCATCATCCAACCTATTCCTCAACTTCTTCTCGCCAAAATTAGGGCATAATGTTGTTGTGCATTTCAAAGCCAACTCACGACGTTTGGTGAACCATTTCACAAGAAGATTAATAATTTCCCCTATCAAATGAACTACTGGAAGCATTCTTGCAAACCTAAGGACCGAGTTTATTGACTCCGCAATATTTGTCATCATTACATTGTAGCGGCGTCCATCCATGTGAGCTCTAGACCACTTATGTAACCCTGCCTGTTGAAGATATTGAGCAATGTGTTCCTTCCTCTTGATCTTGCGAAAATGACAATCAAATTCAGTAATTGAATAAGATTTCGCAGCCTGCTCAAAGTGCATAAGTATTTCATCATGCTTTTTCAACTTGCAAGTGCGTTTCATGTTCCCCTTCATATGATAAAAGCATATGCCATGTTGTGTTGTTGTCAAAACTTTGTTCCACACATTCTCTATGCTAACATTGCGATCAGAAATGATAACAAGATTGGGACACTCACTAATGGCTTTATGAAGTTTAGTGAAAAACCAATGCCATGATGCATCCGTCTCCAAATCCCCGATCGCAAAAGCAAGAGGATATATATTTCAATTACCATTGAATGCATTTGCTACAAACATAACACCCTTGTACTTAGATTTTAAATGAGTGGCATCCGCGGCTATCACTGGGCGCATGGAAGAATGAATATACATGCGCCAACTGCCATAAAAAAAATACACAAAGTGATTGTTCTCATCAGTATGGATGTGTGTCTTTGTGCCAGGATTCATACGCTCCAATTCATAGCAATAGGTTGGAAGGATATAAAATGCCTCCTCGGCTGATCCTCTAATGGACATTAGAGCTAACTCCCTCGCTTTCCAAGCTTTCGAATAATGAATGGTCAAACCAAAGTTCTGTTTCACATATCTCATTATGTCACTTGGTCTGTATATTGTCCGACAATCCTTCAATTTCCTTTTCAATGAAGTGGCTACAAGTGATGCGGTTGCTTGACGATGGTTGTCATTTACAAACCTCAAATCACATTCATGGACTGTTGTACACCTCATAATCATGAAGTTGTATTCTCCAATTCTCGATGCTCGGACCCGCTATGGGCATAGACGTTGACAACAAACCACAAGCAACCTCTTTGTGCAAGAGAATTGCACCTTAAATTGAAAATGGCCTCTCAATGCCCTCAACCGTAAGTTGGTCAACAAGGCTCCCTTACTAGAGAAAATTTGCCCAACTTTAATTTTCCAATTCCAATCACTTCGCAAATACTCTCTGTCCAAATATGCTTATCCATCATTTACACCAGCCACATTGTACTGGTTTTGTTCACTTATTTCACTCAAATGATGTTCAGGAGTAGGTTCAGATTCTCCTCCTAAACGCATTATTGGCAACTGGACTGATGTGTCCAAGCGGCCCAAAATAGGAGGGGTAGAGTACACTGACACTTCATTTGTTTCATTACCATTATCACGACCATGCATCTCCTCCACCTCGCTAAAATCAATCATGTCCATAAAATCTGTCCCAACATCACCTCCCACATCAACGACATTTGTATTATTCCGAATTACTTCATTGCTTTCAACAATAGCAACTGAAGACTGACCCATCCGACTACTATTTGTCGTCATATGCATACTATCAACTACATCATTTGTCAGTCCTTTATCTTCCATACTCACGAGGAAGGGGGCTAGTTTTGAAGGTGTTACCTCACAATTGTACTTCATAAAAAATTTCATATCATCATCGTCCTCAATCTTTATGTGCTTCCACTCATTCGAGGCCATCAAAACTGAGAACTTTAAGCAAACCTTGTCTTCCATGTTTATATTGCCAATATGATGCATACGATCCAACAGTTCAGCAAATGTGATGGTCCGTGGTACTATTAAGCCTTTTGAGTCACCCCCTTCGTATTTGCACATCTTTTTTGAGGTTACCCATTTTCCATTGTAACAAACCAGAATAACAATTGTCTCCATTTCTGACCATGAAAAAACAACATTTCATTAACAGATTTGAAGCCACGACCAAATCACTGCAATACAACCACAATAACCAGGCAATACAATAGCAATACAACAACAATACAATAGAAATATAACAACACAACAACAATAAAACATCAATAACACAGCACTGAACAATGTATCATCACAATTACACTATACAAATCTAATACATCAAATGGAAAATTCCAAGTTTCAAGATTCACATATCCTGAGCAATCTCAATGCATTTGGTAAAAACCCAGACGGATGAGCATCAAGATTCAAAAACATTACCCAAAGCAATTAAAATAAAACCAATTTCACAGCAAGCCAAGCAATCAAAATAAAACCTATTTCATAGAATCCCACAGATATTAACAAAATGACCATCAACACCTCCTATTGGAGGTCAGCAATGGAGTAGAGCTTCAAGGTTGCAAGCAGCTGCGACCTTACGTTATTTAGAAGACATACCTAGAAGATGGGGTCGATGAGAGGTTTCCAGATTCAGAACAAAGAGATGGGGACAATTCAGACCAAAGAGCGCTAGCGAGACAGAGCTGCGTGAGAGGGATACCTCTGCACGAAAAGAGAAGGAGAGCTGGGGTAGAGAGAGATAGAGAGAGCGAGAAGAGAGAGAGAGAGAGAGGGAGAGAATACAGAGCTGAGAGAGAGAGAGAGAGAGAGAGAGAGAGAGAGAGAGAGAGAGGAGAGAGAGAGAGAGAGAGAGAGAGAGAACGAATAGAGAGCTTAAATTTCAGATAAAGTGTTATGTGGGCAATAACTAGACAATAAATATATATTTATAGGTGGTATTTGCAAAACTTTTGGGGAGGGCTGATATTTCCACTTAAAACTTAAAAACGGGTGGCATTAAGGGCTATTTCCCTTAATTCTTTAATCTGTCAATGTAGTTTGGAGGGAGTTTCTGTGTAGAGCTAATTCTAGGGCATTTGGAGAAGGAATAATGCGTCTAGTTGTCTCTGTAAAAATAAGTTTCTGTTGGGAGCTATTTTCAGGGCATTTGGGGACCTGTAAAGACATGTATTTAGAGCCAAGCTTATCTTTGTGCAATTCATGTATGATCATAGAGTACAGATGTTATCGATGTAGCATTCACGGGTAATGGGTAAAGCTCAATTTTTTGGAATGCAATCATATGGATGGAATTTAACTTGATGTAAATTATATGTAAGAAAGTAAATTTTTGAGTATTGGTATCCAAATGTATGGTCCCTCCTCCTTCCCTCTTCTCTCCTTTTTTCATCATGATGGGGATCAGGGAATTAAGAGTCTTGAAGACTGTTGGCCTCTTAACTCAATCCTTGTGTGTCATCCAAATAGTTAGTTTGGTTTTGGCTGAATTTTTTTGTTTGGGATTGAGAACGTTAACAGGATTTTAGATTAACATCTCATTCATCCTTCTTGTAACTACATTTTATTAATAAAATCTGTGAGTGTTATAAGAAAAATTTAAGTAAAAGAATATATTAGTGTGAGGTTGTGCTACATGCAATCAAGTTCACCATGAGGCCATTAGTTCACTGTAAAATACCGGAGGTCTTTGCCTGCCAACAATTGCGGATTTAATTTTTCTTTCATTTGACAGATGCTGGTCCACACTCGCAAGAGATGTGTAATTTAGTGGTCTAATGGTATGTTGAATAGTGATAGTTTGTATGCATCACCCTTTTTCTTTTGGCCTTTCCCATAATTGCTTGGTAACACTAGGAAAATACGACTGCAACTCCTAATAGTCAAAATTTATTCTAATAGTATTGCTACTTCTTAACATGCACTCTCCCACACTTGCTTATTGCTAGATTTTGTCCCGAAAATGAAAGAAATACCCTGTTCTGGTCATTGGTGAATCATAGGCAGTTAAGCTTTTTGCCTCTAAAAGATTTAGTTGTCATTATCCTGTTTCTCCCTCCCTAATCTGTTTCTTATTTCTAGTATATTAGTTTTGTTTCAAATTATGATTTCATCTGCACTATGCAAGTTATGTTCTATCTGAAGGCTTGAAAGATTGAATAGAATATGGGACGCATACAAGAAGGTTTGAGGGACGCATACAAGAAGGTTTGTCTAGTGGTGGTATGTCCTTAAGTGTTGTATAATTGAATTCAGTATTTTTTGTAGGGTGATATATACTTGCCTTGATTCATTGATGGATTATGGAAGTTAGACATGATAGCAAAATGGCCTAACGTTTAGTAGTTTTTTGTAAGGCCTAACATTTACGTCGAAAATTTTCTATGGTTTATTGGATGGATTATGGAAGTTAGACGTTATAGCAAAAGGGTTTATTAGTTTCCATCTAATGTTATTGTTAATTTAGTACAAAGGTGGTTGGATGCACATCTCAGAGGTAGCAAATCCAGTTTTAGCTCTTACATTAATGGCAGAATTGCGAATTTCCAAGAAGGATTGAGCATGTCAGTAGATAAAAGGGATTTACCTTTACAAAGGAGCTGCATGAGAAACTCGCATAAATTTCTTTCCCATCCGATCTTGTTTGCTGAATAGATTGGGGAATGTTTATGTATTCAATTAAATAATTTGGACAAGATTTTAATGATGTTTTCATGTAATGTGTGTGTATGTATGTTTTTAAGACAAAGGAAATTTAATACATATGCGGATAATTTAATGCCTGGTATTGTTTTGGAACCATAATCATTGTCAATCTCATTGTTTCTTTAAAAGATTGGTGTGAAATTATTACTTCATTTTCTTCTTTCCTTTATTTTAAGATATTTTTGTTTGGAGAAAAAGAACTCTGTTTTTATAATCTAAAAGACTAGCTATCTATGTCCCACATCTTGGGACTAATTGAATGTGCTTTTGATATTGAAAGGAAGCTAGCATCTTTGGTTGAAAAAATGAAGGTGTTACTGCTGAAGTAATTTCTAATTGATTTCAATTTGCCTATAAAACTTGTTGATTGGTGCTCAACAAGTTGGGTTTTTGTTGCTTGAATTGGTGTATAATTTAGGTTCGCTTTTTGCATGTGAGTGTTTTAATGGATTGGATCTTCTACCTGTATGTTTGTCAAATCTCAATCATGTTTCTGAGATGAGTTGTGTAGTAGTGTTGGTTGAAATTAATATGTTATTTATTCATGGAAAGCATATTGTTTCCCGACGGTGAGTATTTGACCAAATTATAATTTGCTGCAGTTTTGTCTTGACAATTTATGTTTCTTTCTTTTTTTCTTTTCAAGTTGTACAAGGAGAAGAAAAGCCGCACCCAACTCGTTTCCCTGTGAAGAACAAATTTGAGGTTAACAGTTACACAATGTGTTTTAGCTGGTTTGTACAGACACTGATGTGCAAGTCATACACTGGCGTTGGAGACCATTTTGTGCATAATTTAATGTGTAGACAAGGAGTTTTTTGAGATGCCTTCTGAAGATAAAAGCAAAGCTTCTATTATGAAAATGCCAAGCAAACTTGTAGCAAACTGTACACATAATTGATTATGCTTGTTATTATTAGTAAGGACATCTAAGACATTATGTATTCTTCTTGTGGAGCCGTACATTTCTAATATTTGTGTAATGTACTTCATACTGTTTTTGAGGTCATTATTACACTACTACGTTTCACCATTTGTGCGACGAAAGATTGCGCGACGAAGAATAAGTCGTCGCGCAAACCATACAGGCGCGACGAAAAAAACTATTTGTCGCGCAATCCACTGAAAATTTGCGCCACCAAAATTTTTCGTCGCACAAAATGTATATGCGCGACAAAACAATTTGTCGTCGCGCAAACAGAGTTAAAAAAAGCGTGGGGGAATTTTTTTGGCGCGAAACATTTGCGCGACGAGAAATATCGTCGCTAAAGGCAACATTGCGCGACGAATCAATGTTCCGTCGCGCAAAAAGGACAGTACCCAGTGGGTCCCCTTATTTAGCGCGACGGGAAGATGTTTCGTCGCGTAAGAGAACGAGAGATATTTTATTTTTGGCGCCAAAATGACTTGGTTGGGATATTTTTTTTGCGCGACATAAGTACTGTTTTTGCGCGACAATATTGCGCGACGAAAGGTTGCGCGACGGAAAGTACCAGCGTCGCGCAAAAGTTAGATGTCGGCAGGTGTTTGCGTGACGAAAAAAAGGGTTTGCGCGACGGATGATTTGGTTTTTTGCGACGGAAGTTTGCGCGACGAATAAATATGTTCGTCGCGCAAAGTCCTTCTTCTTCATATTAGAATTCTGCCATTGCAGAGGCAGAATGCAAAAACAAAGCATTCTGCCTCTGCTTCTCTCTCAACCTCTCTGCCGCTGCTGGGATTTCAATACATTGATTGGGTAAGTATTTTTCGTCATTAGTTTAAAAGTATTAATTTAAGTTCGTACTAAGGTTTTTTAATTTGTTTTCGTTAGGGATATTTGTAATTAGCGATTGGTGGAGAACGATTGAGAAGGTATTTTATTCGTTTTATATATTAATAATGTTAATTTGTTATGTTTAAAATGTTCTTGTGAAGTTATATTTATATTATGTTGTGTGTAACGTAGTACAATCTGTTGTGATGTACGAAGTTAATTGAAATTAACTTCGTGCTTTTATTTTTATGTTTAGTAACACTTAGTTTCCCGTTCGAGATTAGTTGGATTTCGTGCATGGATGCGTAATGCATGACTGCGGTCCAATTAATTCTTGAATTGTCCCATTATTTGGACAGTTTGGTAATGCATAGTGTTGTCACGTAATCTATGGCTACAGGATTAGGTTTCGATTGTGGATATTTCGTTGTCATCTCGGTACGTTCTTCGGGTGGTACGTAGGTATTTATACCTATGGCCACCTCAAGAACTGTAGCGAGATGCTGGCGAAATTCATCCACGTCGAAATCTAATCTCATGTAGTCGTAGGTTACGTGGCAGGAGTATGCATTCCCGAATGGGATAGGACCCTTACCGGAGGCATAAGGTGACATTATAACTTCGTATGAAGTTGTTGTGATTGTTGTGTTGTGATTCTGGTTTCAGGAATTATGGACAGAAGGTGGATACAGAACCCGAACAGATGCGCAGACGAATACTTGGATGGAATCGAGGATTTTATTGAGTTTGCACGTAGACACAACCCGGGTGCAACTAGAATCCGTTGTCCTTGTAGGAGGTGCAACAACACGTTATGGGAGACAATTGAAAATGTTGGATTTCATTTAGTAAGGAATGGAATGATTGAGACATATAGCATTTGGAACCTTCACGGGGAACAATTAGAGCATGCTTCGTCTTCAAATGCCACAAGAGTGGACAATGTTCAACCTATTGTGGATGCTAATGATCAAGTCATGGATATTATACAGGATGTTTTTCCATTTGCATCGACCAACATGAATCAAGAAGAGCAAGATGATGTGCCTACACCAATAGACAGTGCGGAGTTTGAACAATATGAGAAATTGTTAAAAAATGCCAACCAAGAGTTATACCCGGGGTGCGAGAGCTTTCCGTTCTCACGGCCATTGTGGAGCTAATGCACGGAAAAATAAAGTATCGTATGTCGAACCTGTGTTTCGATTACTTTTTGGGGGTTTTCAAGAGAATGCTTCCGACGGACAATTGTTTGCCGAAAGACCATAAACAGGCGCAGAAGGTGTTGAATGGTCTTGGATTGGGTTATGAAAAAATCCATGCTTGCAAAAACAATTGCATGTTATTCTACAAAGAGCATGAATCGTTGGATACATGTCCTATATGCAATGAGTCGAGGTTCAAGATGACATCTCAGAATAGGACGACTAAGATCCCACAAAAAGTCATGCGTTATTTGCCCCTGAAACCTAGGTTGCAGCGATTGTATATGTCGACGCATACTGCCACAGACATGAGATGGCATCAGGAAAAACGGGTAGAAGATGATGTGATGCGGCATCCTGCAGATGGGGAGGCATGGAAAGAGTTCGATCGAACGTTCCCTGAGTTTGCTGCTGATCCCCGAAATGTTAGATTGGGACTTGCCACTGACGGATTCAATCCGTATGGGGTTCTAAACCAACACCACAGCACTTGGCCGATTTTCGTATTCCCATATATAATTTGCCGCCTTGGAAATGCATGAAAAAAGAATACATGATGATGACTGTTTTGATAACTGAGGATCCTGGGAGGTCAATCGATGTTTACTTAAGGCCGCTGGTTGATGAGCTGAAGGATTTATGGACAAACGGTGTTCGCACGTACGATAAATCAACTGGGAAGATGTTCACTTTGCGGGCAGCAGTTATGTGGACTGTGAATGATTTCCCAGCATATGCAATGGTTTCTGGGTGGAGCACAAAAGGTTATATGGCATGTCCTGTATGCAAGGAAGATGTAACTTCTGGTTGGCATGCTGGAAAAGTTTGTTACCTTGGTCATCGGAGATGGTTGCCATGGGACCATGAGTGGAGGGAAAAAGATAAAGAGTTCGACGGGAACACAGAGCGTCGCCTTAGACCCAGAGAATGGTCCGGTGATGAGATATTGGACCAGCTTAACCGGTTGGATTTTGCTCCCTTCGGGAAAACAGTTAGTCGTATAAGACCTTCTACACATATGAACTGGACGCACAAGCCTATGTTTTTTGAGCTCCCATATTGGTCGAAACTAAAATTGAGGCACAATCTAGATGTGATGCATGTTGAGAAAAATGTATTCGACACATTGGTGGGCACGATTCTAGATATCGAGGGGAAGACAAAGGACACGATCAAAGCTCGTCTTGATTTGGAAAGAATGGGCATACGAAGGGGTTTATGGATGAATAGGGACAATGATAAAGCTAGAAGGGATCTTGCATTCTTTTCTATGAAACCGAATGACAAGAAAGAGTTTCTAAAGTTTGTATCGTCAGTAAAGTTTCCCGATGGGTATGCTTCTAATATCGCACGTTGTGTGAATGTTGACGGGGGTAAATTTACTGGACTTAAAAGCCATGACTGCCATGTGTTTATGCAACGCCTACTTCCTGTTGGTATTCGACACCTATTGCCGGAAGATGTAGTGAAGCCAATCATTTTGTTGTCCAGATTTTTTTCCCAACTGACGGCAAAAACTTTGCGAAAAACGGACATGTTTCAGTTGCGCCATGACATTGTCCAAGTCCTATGCAAGTTTGAGATGATATTTCCTCCAGCTTTCTTCACAAGTATGATGCACGTGATGGTTCACTTGCCAGAAGAGGCATTACTTGTTGGTCCTGTCAACTATCGCTGGATGTATCCAATAGAAAGGTATATAATCCTTATCGTTTGTGTATGCATCATTATCACATGCTTGCTAATTTCAATCATATCGTTTTATTTTGGCAGGCTTCTCGGAGAGCTGAAAAAAAGTGTACGCAACAGGGCGAAGCCCAAAGGATCAATCGTAGAGGCTTGGGTTCAATATGAGTCGCTTACTTTCTGCGGAATGTATTTAAAAGATGTGGAGACGGTTTTCAATCGTCCTCAGCGCAATCATGATGGAGGTATGAGAAATGAAAAACTTTCTGTTTTTGCCCAAAGCGCACGACCCTTCGGAGATCCTGGACGCGGAGAGTCGTTTTCTAGAAATGACATGGAGGTAGCGCATTGGTTCGTACTGAACAATTGTGATGAGATCATGGGATACTTATATGAGCATGAAGAGATGATGAAGCGAGAACATCCATCACATTTGGTTGCCCAGAAACACCGTGAATTGTTTCCACAATGGTTTTTGGATTCTGTAAGTTATCAGTGTTTGTTATTTGAGAAATATAAATTATTTTTTTTAATTTTGTCAGACTAACATATGAATGGTTTTGTGTAATATTAGGTGAATAAGTTGAAATCATCGAATTCCCCAACTTACAGTGATGAGTTATATAACTTGGCGTTCGGCCCGATTCGCGCTGAATTGTTCTCGGGTTGTAATGTCAACGGCGTCAAATTTTTGGCCGAAGCACGAGATGACAAGTTGTGTACGCAAAACAGCGGTGTCCATGTCCCAGGTGGAGGCGAAAGTACGGACATTGATTTCTATGGCAAACTCACAACTGTCGTGCAATTGCTTTACAAAGATCGATACCAAGTGATCATGTTTAAGTGTCGATGGTTTGACACCAACCCAAATAGGCCGGGAAGTGTTAAAATCGATCATGGCTTACTATCTGTGAACATGAACAGAACTTGGTATGATGACGACCCTTATATTTTGGCAAACATGGCAACACAAATTGTGTATCTAGATGACCCTAAAGCCGGAAGCGGTTGGAACGTTGTTCAAAAGATGGATCACAGGAACGTGTATGCTATACCAGAACTAGACCCAACTGACAACGACGTCAACAATGTGGTTGACCAACGTTTAGAATCTTCAATGGAAAATGATGCGGAAACACTTCGAGATACTAATGTTATACAAGAGCCATTTCAAATACAAGGAGTGTCTTCAATCGAAATACCGATTCAGTCAATTACAATTGACCTCGGTGATCTTCCGCGATATGATGTTGCAGTTGGCCCGAGCAACGACGATGATGTAGTTATAGAGGAGGCGGAGGAGGAGGAGGAGGAAGAGGATTGGGAGACCGAAAGTGATGATAGCAACGATAACGAAAGTTATTATAGTTCAGATGATGAATGATTAATTTTTTTTGTAATTTTATTATGTTAGTGGACATATTTTGTGTAATGCAAATGTTTTCATATATGTACTTGTTATATCCAAACATTATATATGTGCAGAAATGAAACATTATTAAAATAAATGTAGTTATAAACCATTGGTAAATAAATATATCCAAGTAATTTGTATCATAAAGTTTAAATTTATTTTCACAAAAAACTTTTAAAAATTGAAAACCATATAACCGAAAAAATGAATACAAAGAACATAAGATTATCAACAATCCTTCCATTCTCAAATCAAAAGAAAATAGAATAAATCATACTTTCATACCATTAATTATATGTAATGATGAATAATTCAGATTAATAATATGTGAATGAAAATAACCTTGCGCGACGAAGGCATAATTGTCGCGCAAATTTTGCGCGACAGAGAATGTACACGTCGCGCATACTCTATTATTTGCGCGACAAATAATTTCGTCGCGCAAGTGACTTTTGCGCGACGAAACACATACCTCGTCGCGCAAACATATACACATATATATATATTTCTGATATATACACACGTATATAGTTGAAATTGACGATCGAAGTAGTTCACTGTATTCACATAGGGTTAAACAGTATAGCTGTAAAAAATCATCAAAATCAGAGTCAAAATAACCGTTAAATCATGACTTTTCGTTTATAACCGTCGAAACGTTTTGTCCCGTTACTTGAGCTCTGAATGTTTCTTTTTTTCTCATTTTTGACGTATACGATCTCGAAGTATAAACAAACATATTTGACGGCTAGATTAATGAAACTAGTTTCCTAGAATGCGTATTCCATAAAACACAATATTCATAAAAAATGAATAATTTCTTTATACATTCATTCAGTCTAACATAAGATTATGTGATGTCCTGTACTGTAAATATCTGAAATTGAAGATCGAATTACATCTCTGTATTCATATAGGGCCAAGAACCGCAGCTGTAAAAAAATTTCAAGATCGGAGTTAAAATCACCGTTGAATCGGGACAATTTGTTTAGAACCGTCGAAAAGTTTTGTCCCATTACTCAATCTCTGAATGTTCATTCATTATGATTTTGACGTATACGATCTTGCACTATGAAAAAAGAAGATTGCCAGTTGGGTCATTGAAACTAGTTCAGGAGTTCGGGTTTATGGCTTAGGGTACAGGGTTTAGGGTTTAGGGTACAAGGGTATGGTTTTGCGCGACAAAATCAAATCTTACTCGTTGCGCAAAACATCAGCGACGAACATAAGTACCTTCGTCGCGCAAAACCCTGAACAAAATTCGCTGCCCTTCTCCGCTCCAACAGTTAGTGAAATTTTTTTTGGCAAAAGTCAGATTGCGCGACGAACATAAGTCCATTCGTCGCGCAAAATCATTAAAAAAATTCGCTACCCTTCTCCGCTCCAACACTTGGTGAAATTTTTTTTGGCAAAAGCCAGATTGCGCGACGAACATAAGTCCATTCGTCGCGCAAAATCATTAAAAAAATTTGCTGCCCTTCTCCGCTCCAACATTTGGTGAAATTTTTTTTGGCGAAAGCCAGATTGCGCGACGAACATAAGTCCATTCGTCGCGCAAAACCCTGAACAAAATTCGCTGTCCTTCTCCACTCCAACACTTGGTGAAATTTTTTTTGGCAAAAGCCAGATTGCGCGACGAACATAAGTCCATTCGTCGCGCAAAATCATTAAAAAAATTCGTTGCCCTTCTTCGCTCCAACACTTGGTGAAATCTTTTTGGCAAAAGCCAGATTGCGCGACGAACATAAGTCCCTTCGTCGCGCAAAATTAACAATTGCAGCTCTTCTCTGTCCAACACTTGGCGAAATTTTGTTTGGCAAAAGCTAGATTGCGCGACGAACTTTCGTCTATTCGTCGTGCAATCTCATTGCATTTATCTTCCCCGCGCAACATCAAATTCCAAAATTTTGGGCGGCTGGACAAATTTGCGCGACAACACTAGTTCTTTCGTCGCGCAAAGTATATCTTTTCACAACTTTGCGCGACGAAATCATGTTTTTAAGTCGCGCAAAGGTCATATTTTTATAATATTGCACGACGAAAAGTTGATTTTTGCGTCGCGCAAAAGTTATTTTAATGAATTTTGGGCGACGGATTTATATATTCGTCGCGCAAAGTCAAATAAGTTTTCTGAAAATCGCGATCTTCTCCTTCTTCCCCAATTCCTCAAACGGAACCCTAAACCTCCCTTTCTCTCCGCCGTGACCTCAGCCCCTACTCCGCCCCAATTCAGACCCTGCCGCCACCACCGTCAAACCCAGGAGCTTCTCCGCCGTTGCCGTCCATCCTGCCGCCGTGATTTCCTCCGTTTAGGCCGAATCTTCGCCGCCGTTGTTCTCTCTCCTCCGGGCACCAAATCCGGCAATTGAGGTATGCTTTCTGGGCTATTTTTCATGCTCTAGCTGATGGTTGTGTAGGATTTGATTGATTGTGTGCATAGGGTAGTGAATTTGAAACCCTAGGTTTCGGCCGGTTTTGAAATTGAAATTCCGGCCACTTCCGTCCGTTTTTCGGGGTAGGTCCGAGAACAAAAGTGCCTCCAATTGATGTTTTCAACCTAGGGTAGGAACCTTGGCCCTTAAATTTTAGGATTTCCCGGTGATTGTTATCGCTTAGGGCACCCACGCACTGCTGGCGCGTGTGGTGGCGCGTGGGGTACTGTGGCATAGGGCATTTTGTCCCAGTGCAAACATTTTGTTGTCACGAGCGCGTAGGTGTGCTCGGATTGGAATTTGGTTATCGTTTGAGTCTCGAACGGTTCGAACCTATTGTGCGATTTTAGGGTTTGATATGTTCGGACAGTTGGATCGAGCTGAAACTCACGTATGTGGTACCATGTATTTATAGGATCGTTTAGGATTCGACGGATTGTGGATCGGAGTCCTGAATACTCCGAAATCGCAAACCCTAGGTCAAACTATGATTTTAATTAGTTAGTTCAATTTTTTAATGACATTGTATGTGCTACATTGGATTAATGAAATTGTGTAGATGTCAGACCTGATTAGACGTCGTAGGGCGGTGACGGCTACACCGAGTTCGGAGCCCCCGGCTCAGCCGGTATCAGCTGCCACTGCTCTAGCACTGATGGAGCAGGACCACGTGCTAGCTGGTCCTGGGGGATCCCAGGCGGCTACATCATCATCTTCTTCGGTGGTGCAGCCTCTTAGCGCTAGGCGGCGACACCGGCCCGCTACCACCACCGACTGACTGTACTGGTGCCTCGGGGGCACCTCTAGGTAATGCCCTTCCACTTTCATTTTTTTGTTTTTAACATTTTTTTAATTGGGAATTTTATGGTTCAATTTGATTGTATATGTAACAATATTGTCATATCCCTTCGCAGCCAAGAGGAACACCCGAGGGCCGTGTCGGCAGCTGAAGACGGCGAAGGTCACCCGGGTGACCAACAGTCGTATCAGCATCGGATATGACGAGCGCCATCGGGCTGCACCGACGGCGGACTTGCATAGCTCCTTGGCCCACGACATTGGCCACGTCGTTCGGACCCATTGCCCGATGCAATGGAAGTCTTGGAAGGTCATGCCTGACGAGATCAAGATGCAAGTTCGCGGCCAGTTGTCGGTATGTTTCCTATCTTTTAATTATTTTTCTTTCAAACTTTATATATTTCTATTACTTAATGTATGTAATCAATTTATTGCAGACGAACTACGACTTAGAGGACATCAACGAGGAGACCTTGGTACGTCAACAGACTCTTCGGTGAGAGGTACAAGCAGTGGAAGAGCAACTTGCACCACCATTTTCAGGCGTTTGATGATCCGCAAGTCGCTCTTCAGGAGGGTTGCCCGAAGGAGCTTGAGGGGCGGGAGGATAGTTGGGCGTGGCTCTGCGCTCATTTTCAGGCGCCCGATTATGTGGTATTTTTTTAATAATATTTGTTTAATGTTTATTTTATTTTTTATATCTCATTATTATTTAATTTATTTATAGTTCAATTATTACGTTTTATTTTTGTATAACAGAATAAAGCCCAAGTGAATAAGGGCAATAGGAAGAAGAAGACTCTTCTTCACCATTCCGGCTCCAGGCCCTTCTCATATAGGATGGATGCACGGCGTCGGGTAAGAATAATATAATTTATATTTAATTTTTAATACGTCATTATTATTAATTTCTTTTGTTCATACTAATATTTTCCTTCTCTTGTTCAATTAAGGGGGGGTCGAAATTCCCAGAGATCGACGTCTTTGGTGACGTTTATGTTCAACCTGGGAATGAGTTGGCCGAGTCCCTTCATGTAAGTATTATGTATTTTTAATTCTTATGTAACACTTTCAATTTATATGCATTTTTGAATTTATATTTTATGTAATGTTAAACAGACGACGATGGTGGAGAGGAGCCAGTTGGTTCTTCAAGAGTCCGCCTCCCAACTTCCTCCCGAGACTCTGATTGAGTTTGTGGATCCTCCGAATGATGCTGGATTTCAGATTTTGACACAGACGTTGGATCAAACTCTCGGGAGGAGGCCGGGAACGTGTTGTACGGGGATGGGGAATGCCCGACAGAGGGAACCTCGACCGCGGTCATCGTCGCAGGCAAACAGTCAGGTGACTGTTTTGACATCGCGGGTTGCCGAGCTTGAGGGTCAGATGTCGGTGATTCTGCAGTCCCTCGCGCGGTCCGGCATTCCAATCCCGAATTTTGGTGCGTCGACCTCCGAGCCCGTCCACCCCGAGCATCCCCAGCACACCACGGCCCCTGCAGACGCCCATACCTCCGAGCCGCATGTGGCAGATGACCAAGTAGATTTTGGAACATTATTTGATTAGTTTTTTATTTTTATAATTACTTTTACAATTTGTATACATTTCTTTTATTTTATATAATAGATGTTTTCTTTACGATTAATCTTTTATTGTAATTTCATTTTAATTAAAAAAAAACCAAATTTATTTTTTTACAAAATTAAAAATCAAATAATAATAATTTTTTTTTATTAATATATATTGCTTTTGCGCGACGAAACGTAAATCGTCGCGCAAAAACATTTAAATAACAAATCGACAAATATATTTTAATCATGCGCGACGAATAATTTCGTTGCGCAAAACGTGTATGCGCGACGAATAAGGTTTCGTCGCGCAAAGTTCATGTAGCTCGCGCGACGGAAGAGTCCGTCGCGCAGTTTTTTTTGCGACGACCACTATTTCGTCGCGCAAATATTTGTGCGACGGACATTGAGGTTATCCCGAAATATTTTTTTAAACGAAGTTGTTATACGTAGCGCAAACAGCGCGACGAATGGCATTTATTCGTCGCGCAAATATTTGTGCGACGGACATTGAGGTTATCCCGAAATGTTTTTTTAAACGAAGTTGTTATACGTAGCGCAAACAGCGCGACGAATGGCATTTATTCGTCGCGCAAATCCTTTCTTCACGAACTTTGCGCGACGAAACTTCTGTCGCGCATAATTATGTGCGACTAAAATCATTTTTGCGCGACGAAGACCCCTTCGTCGCGCAAAGACTAAAATGTAGTAGTGTTATAACGATATGAAATTGTCATACATGGTTGTTATTTTTTATGTACTATTTATTATCTATAGCAACTGAATATTGTAATAGTTCAACAATTAGAACATTATATAATATGGGAAAGAGAGTACAAAGACATCAATAAGGCACTTGTTTATTGCCATTTTATTGCTTTGGCATTGGTTGTCTATTGCCGCTTTATTGCTTGTTTATTGCTTTCATATTGTTTTTGTATTGCATGTCTATTGCCACTTTATAATCTACATGACATTATAATGGAGTGGAAGCAACTATGGATATCGTCAAAATTAACCATTCTTACATTGTCGTCTTTTATGTTTCAAAACTGTCGTATACGTGACTACCATCTCTTGCTCAAGATCCCAAAGTTTTTAAGTAAACTGAATTTAAATTTCATTTAACGGTATCAAAATAATTACATGGTCTCCTATACAATAATATTCAATACAAGTTTTTTATTTCACATAATTTTTAAAAATGACCAAGTATCTCAATTAACAAATTGAAAACAAATTAAATTCTTCAAATTAAAGTTTGTTGACTTATGTGGCGATTTGAAAATGTTGTATTTTGTGGCTTACTATGGGTCTTTATGACCATTGCAGTTGTAGCTCAGCTTTCTCTCTCTCTCTCTCTCTCTCTCTCTCTCTCTCTCTCTCTCTCTCTCTCTCTCTCTCTCTCTCGTCCCTTTCGCGCAGCTCTCTCTCGCTAGCGCTCTTTGTTCTAAATTGTCCCCATCTCTCTGTTTTGAATAGGGAAACCCCCCATCGACCCCATCTTCTAGGTATGTCTTTTGAATAACGTAAGGTTGCAGCTACTTGCAACCTTGAAGCTCAACTTCATTGCCGACCTCCAATAGGTAGTCTTGATGGTCATTTTCTTAATCTCCGTGGGATTATGTGAAATTGGTTTTATTTTGATTGCTTGGGATTCTATGAAATTAAATTGCTTTTGTAACACCCCGACTCCAAATTTGTCCCTTATTTTAATTAATTTGAGTGAACTTAAGAATTTACTCTTGGGATAGGGGTATTTTAGTCATTTTATTACCCGGAAGGAATTTGGGAATTCCAGTTGTACCGTTGCATAGAGCACGGCGAGATGAGTTCGTAGACACGTACTGGGCTTGAATCGGAGTTGTAACGAGAGAGATACGATAAAAATACCCTCAGTGGCAAAATCGTAAATATTTTGAAATGGAATTTTTGGTTAAAAGACGGAATTGCCCCCGTCTCACTCACCCTCTCTCTCGCGCGCGTCCCTCTCTCTCTCCTCTGGTTCGCGACGGCTGAAACAGCCGGCCACGTTTTGGCCGGCCGTGCGCTCGTCCGGTCACCAAAGTCGACGGGGCCGGTACCAAAATGACCGAGCCGCCGTCCTCTACCTACCCCAGACAGGTCTCGCCGCCAGCCGTCGAGATTTCGCCGGAAAATCGAAGAGAAAAGCTCGGTTTCGCCCGAAACTTCGCCGGCTTTGTTCTCCGTCGTCCGGTAGCCATTTTTGGCGATCAAGGTATGGAAATTCATCCCTTCTGCATGATCTAGCTGATGGTTGGGTAGGAATTGATCAATTTGTAGCGTAGGCAACTCGATTTACGAATTGGGTTTCGGCCGGATTTCGAGGGGAGATTCCGGCCACTTCCGGTCAGATTTTGGGGTACGTCCAAGAACAAAAGTGACTCCAAATTAGGTGTTTTACCTAGGGTAGGAGTCTTGAACCGTGATTTGTGGTTTTTTCGGCGATGGGTTATCGCTTTGGACACCCACGCGCTGCCGGCGCGTGTGGCGGCGCGTGGGCACTATAGTTGAGGGGCATTTTTGTCCCACTGCGATCCTCTCGATGTCACGAGCGCGTAGGTGTGCTCGGATCTCATTTTGGATACCGTTAGAGTCTCGAACGAATATCGCATATCGCGTATTTTCCGGGTTCGCTAGGTTTGGCCCGTTGGATGGTCCTGAGATTATAATTTGTTGATCTAGGTATTACCAGGATCGTATAGGATTTGACGGATTGTAAAACGGAGTCCCGGATACTCCAGAAATGCCAACCCTAGGGGTAAGGTTTAGTAATCGTCCGATCGTGTGATCGTGAGCGATCCGACCGTCCGATCTGGACCAAACTTGCAGGACGTGCATCCTAGAGCTTGTAGAACCTATTGGAACTTTCGGATCGGAAATTGGAGGTCATGGGCCCCGCGGCCCGTTTGACCAAGGTTGGGTAGTTTGACCCTGGTTTGTCCGTGGGACTTCCTAGGTAGTATTACATTCCTAGGAAGATTAAAATGACCATGGTGACAGGTCCTGATGTTATGGGGGTTATAGGGGATTATCGGATGCTAGTTGGTTGTTAAGATGTTTATATTATTAGAAATTAATGTATAAAAATTATGTATGGATTTTATAATTGAATGTTAGTTTACAGTGCTATACGCACTACCCCATGTACCCCCCCATATTGTGATTATGTTGACAGACCCCATACGAGGCCGGGTGCGTCCCGACGTATGAGGGGAGATATGATTGTGTGATGGCTGGTGAGAATGTAGCCAGGCCAGGGCTGGTGAGAATGTAGCCAGGCCCCCAGTGTGAGGTCGCACGCGTCTTTGGATTAGCCGGCGTGTTGACAGACCCCATACGTGGCCGGGTGCGTCCCGACGTATGAGGGGAGATATGATTGTGTGATGGCTGGTGAGAATGTAGCCAGGCCAGGGCTGGTGAGAATGTAGCCAGGCCCCCAGTGTGAGGTCTTTGGATTAGCCGGCGTGTTGACAGACCCCATACGTGGCCGGGTGCGTCCCGACGTATGAGGGGAGATATGATTATGTGAGGGCTGGTGAGAATGTAGCCAGGCCCAGGGTTGAGGTCGCACGCGTCTTTGGATTAGCCGGCGTGTAGACAGACCCCATACGAGGCTGGGTGCGTCCCGTCGTATGAGGGGAGTTATGTGATTGTGTTTGGTGTGTTGTGATGGATAAACCCTAGAATGTATGAATTTGCATGGATGTGATGGTTTATTTGATAGTAGGAGCCAGGATTGATAGGAAAGAGCTACGTGTGGCTTGATCCCTTAGTAGGGTACGTAGGCAACCTGGGATAGCGCCTAGGTGCAGCCACGACCTAGACACCACTTAGGTGGTTTTATCGAGTATGATGCGGACCTCGCGGTTGGTCCCGAAACTTGGTTGAATTGAGGCTTGTCCGGTGGACTGTGTGAGTGAAGGTGTGCTTAGATAGATTTTGAATTTGTTATATGCATGTTTGATGCATTAAGTTATTTTGAAAACAGTGTGGGCAGTTCTGCTAGAATCATTTAAGGCCGGAGGCCATTTATGTAAATTGCAAGAGATTATATTGTGCGTGCTGCTGGTTGGGTTATAAAATGAGTTTTATGCAGGTGGAAATTTTGGGGAATGTTCAATTTACAGGGGAGACTTTGCCGAAATTTCGGCAGAAAGTCTCGTGCCCTAAACCCTCTCTGTAAAAGAGGACATAGTTTTAAGGAGTAAACCCGGCGTGGGTGTGATGCCGGGGTCTCCGTAGGGTTCGTCTCGGGTTTCGGGAAATTTGGGGCGGGTCCTGTCAGCTTTGGGTAATGTTTTTTGAATCTTCATGCCCATCCATACCAAATGCATTTAGATTGATCTGGATATGTGAATCTTGAAACTTAGGATTTTTCATTTGATGTAGTAGATTTGTATAGTCTGATTGTGATGAATCCTTGTTCAATGTTGTGTTATTGTTGTTGTGTTGCTATTGTGTTGTGGTTATATTGCTGTTGTGTTGTGGTTATATTGCTGTTGTATTGCCATTGTATTGTAGTTGTATTGCAATGATTTGGTCATGGCTTCAAATGTGTTAATGAAATGTTGTTGTCATGATCAGAAATGAAGACAATTGTTATTCTGGAATAAAAAAAGAAATATGCTGTCCAACAATTCACAAAATCTGAAGAATATAACGATGAAATGGTTGAATGTTTCAACAATGGCTTCGAGATGTTCCGAGATTATGCTTCGGTTGTCTCACCGGACTACAATTGGAGTGAAATTGATGTAGCTGGTGTCTGGCAGGTGCTGAATATGGGTGGAGAGGGAATGGCTCATCATAACCTTGTGCATGTAGCAAGGATGAAGGCCAAAGACATGGATCTTTTGGTGGACCTCTAATAATTTGCATTTGCCGTGGTTTTTGCAACTGGGTGAGGGTAAGTGTTGGTTCGCTTCATATTTTGGTGGGTGGCGATTTATTTTGAATGTCAAAATTGAAGGTAGTCTGAAATGGATGTCTGCGTATTGTACGTGTATTGACCTAATATTGGCACCCTAGTGCTCTTATATCGCTACTTGTTTGGCTGTATATTGTATGTATATTGACCTAATATTGCCACCCTATTGTATGTATTTTGTGTCAGCTGGTACTTAGAAGTGTGCCACTTGTTTGTTTATTTTGTAATTGTAACCATGTGCCACTTGTTTGTTTATTTTGTAATTGTAACCATACATTGTCTATATATTGCATAACAATGATGGCCTACTGTTATACCTCCCTAAAGACAAATTATAGATTTGTTTATATATCGAGCTGTACGAAAAACCTCAACTAAACAATCTAAAGAATAAGTATGCTAACGATGACGATAACTCCAAAACAAAAGCACAATTTGAAAAGCGAATCAGAATTACATCCCTAGTGGTATTGATTAGACGTACTACCCAATTTCGTTTCACAAAATGAAAATTGATGCGTATTCCGACTCCAAAATGAGTACAAGCTATCTACCATGTCTACAAAATGGATACAGTTTATCTGCCATGTCTACAAAATGGATACAGGTTATGTGCCATGTATGGCAAGTTGCCATTGCCACCGACTGTACAATTTCTCAATATCATCATGTACAACATGGCCGCAGACCCTGTAAATAATTTCACTTTGCTACACAGAATAGCTAAAGCAACTAGCTGTATCGAACTGGATGGATCACCATATAAAGCAGCTCCACTAGAGCTTCCATGTCTGCATATTCATATATAAAGGATAAACTAAAATAATTAAATTCTCACTGAATGGCCAAGTGATAAGTGAAGACTGAATTCAATTGAGAAACATTATCACCTGTATCTCATATATACGCCTCCCCCCAAAAAGCCTCTATCTTAAGCTTCAGTTGGTAATAGGTGATCTTCGATGTGTCAACTTTATAAAATAAAAAATAAAAAATGCCAGCACTGAGATGCTTGATGAATTTGACCGTCATTATTCCGCAAGAGGCACTATTGGGCCAATAAGTTCAGAAATTAGAACAACACTTATTTACAATATCAATAAACTCCATTACATTAACATAGTTTACCCATCACATTGTTGGGGCAGATCTCCAATGTTGCAAATTGTGCAGCAAAAACTAATATACATTCCCGCCCCACCCAGCTACTTGGCAGCTGAACCAAGGCCTAAAGGTGCATGTCACATTGAAGATATTTCCCTTAGTAATTCTTCAAGTCCGTGCTCGAACAAGTGATTCATCTTATATGACTTGTTTATCATGTGTCCTTCAAATTACTTGTCTCTTGCTCCAATTTTTGTCTCACAAGGATTTAAGTCTTTACCTTACATGATCATTGACAATTAACTAACAACACACCCAGTACTCTGCCACTCCCGCATAATATAATATCTAAAAAGACACGTCTCCAGACACCAGATAATCATGAGACAGCTTAAGCTAGAATGGGAATGTGCGGTAGCAGAAGCCTAATTGAGAACAATTCAAGACTAACGATAGAAATCTATCCGACTAAAAAGAGTTTTAAAAAACAAGAAGACATCGGGAAACAATTGATTGACTTCAAGGTATAATGTAATGGAACATCCTATGAATTAGTGGCAACCACAATAATGACTCCAATATGCCCTCCTTTCAAATGAATGAAATTGGCACCATCCCTTCAGTTTTTTCTTAACAAAATTAGAGGTCTGTATGTGTTGTCTGCTTTATCGATATCAAAGATAAATTAATAAATAAACCATCAAAACTGTATAAAATGTTTGTTAGACATGTACAATTACAAAATTAAAAGTTCTCCTCAGAAACAGAGTTCTCTAAGTATCCATACACAAAAAAGAAAAGCAAAAGCTTAAAGAGTTAGCTTATAGCAAAATCCATGTCCCCATTTCTCTAAACCACACCTGCTGGTGGTAGGTTCCTATCTTCACTCATTTCATGCTTTCTTTTAAGCAGACAATGATCAAGCACAAAACAGCAAACTTTTAAAGAACTCATATTGCACCACATATGGTTCTTTGCACTTCGTTTAGACATTGAATATTCATCCCCAAACAAATTCCAAAGAATCACAAGAAAATATGAAAACGAAAGAAAACTTATCCATATCCAATATGCAAGCCCTAAAGTTAGTAAACAGAGTTATAAAAAAATATGTCAAATTAACAAGCATTATTCTCAAACAAAAAGTATGATATGGTTGGGAATTTACAAGTTAAAAATGATATACACAGGTTAATTGTCTTAGACTTTAGATATCATCTTCAAGAAAGAAAATAGATACCGATCGATTAGACTTGTAAGAAGGTTAAATGCAATGGTTATAAAGACCCATAGTAAGCCACCAAATACCAATTAATAACTGCTACAAAAACCATAATAAAACCGTAATAAACTAGAAATACAACAGCACTAAAATGCCAATACAACATCAGACAAACCCCGAAACCAATTTCAGTGAAACCCCTAAACCAATTTCAGAGAAACCCCTAAACCCTAAACCAATTTCGAACAAACCCATAAATTCATAGAAACCCATAAACCCTAAACCAACTTCAGAAAAACCCCTAAATTGTAAGAAAATGACGATGAACAGTACTTGTTGGAGGTGAACAATGGAGTTGAGCTTCGATGAACAAATTTGGCTAGGAGAGGAAGAGAGAAGAGAGAGTGAGAGCTGAGCGACGAGAGACGAGAGAGTGAGAGCTAAGCGACGAGAGAGTGAAGAGAAAGTGAGAGACAGAGCCAAGAGAGATCTGAGAGAGAACTTCAGCAAAAGTGATATGTGTGCAATAAGTGGACAATAAATATATATTTATAGGTGATAATTCCAAATTTTTTTGGAAAGAGGTGGTATTTTCAGTTAAAATTATAAAAAGGGTGGCATTTAGAGCTATTTCCCAAAAATATATGCTACTGAATTTGATTAAATTTCACGAAAAAATGCATATTAGTTGTTTTGAAGTTTTAATTGGGTAATGATTTCATGAATCACAGTGTATGACATTTTGATATCCAAGTTATTGGCTTGTAGTTTCCCAAGTTTTTCTCTTTTTTTGGCTGGATAATTATATATTTTGCTGAATTAATGTTTGTCTTTTGGTCTTTAGGGAACAATTAATCGGAGGAAAGACTGATAGAGCATCAATTGTGAGATATGCAATTGATTATATAAAGGAGCTTCTGTGGTTAGTGGAAGAGCTGAAAATATTGCTGGTGGAGAAGAAAAGGTGTGGGAGAGAGAGGCACCAGACTGAACAAGATGGTGGTGCTGGCGATGGTGAGAGCTGTAAGCCTCTAGCGACCCTCAGGATCAGTCCTACAACAATGGCTCTCTGAGGAGCTCATGGCTTCAGAGGAAATCCAAGGACACTGAGGTCGATATCTGCATTATCGATGATGAAGTTAGTATCAAGCTGGTTCAGACGAAGAAGTTCAATTCGTTGCTGTATGTGTCAAAGCTTCTTGATGAGCTGCAGCTTGATCTCCACCATGCTGAAGGTGTTACATTGGCAATTCCTACAGCTTCTTGTTCAACACCAAGGTTGGTAGTAATTAATCTTATACTCCTTTATCTTTCTTATAGTCTTCATCAATTACTTCATGCAGGTGGTGTGGTTTTTAATTAATTAGGGTTTACTTTTCATTTGTACTGATGCATGAAGGGTCTTTTTTGTATGCAAAAGCTATAGATGACAAGCTCATTGAGGTTCTGGACGGACAATATGCAGCAGTTCCACCTACCAGTAGTTATTAGGGACGCACGAATTCTTCCTTGGATTATATACCAAGGGCTCGTTTGTTATGTTGGACTGTACTAACTATTTTTTGTCGGACAATATTAATCTGTTCCAGAGAGTACTGATTGTTTATCCATAATATTATAAGGCGTTTGGTGTTGTTCCGGATAAATAGTCTGACTAAGTTATATTGTGTTTGGTGCTATTCCGGATAACATCGGATTAGACTATTTTTTTACAAAAAATTCTTTGATAATTTAAGTGGAAACATAGACAATATATACAATATAATTTGCATATATATATGATTAAGAAAGAAAAAGATAATATATTGAAGCCCAAAAAAAAATAGGCAAGAAGAGAATCAACAGCCAGCAGAAGCAACGCTAAAATAACCACAAAACAAAACAAGAAAGCACCAAAAGTAGAAGCAAAAAAAAATACAGCAAGAAAAATATAGCCGCATGTATTCTTCTAATCGCTGGCTTGAGATGATAATTTGATTATTAAGTTGGATACTTGGAGAAGATGAAATACATAAAGAAAAAAACGCAAGAAAAACTTAGCATAATGTATTGAGTTGGATTCACAACCGCATGTATTGTTCCAATACAGCAAGAAAAAAGACGTCAAAAAGGAAAACCTCATAACCTAATTTCCTCAAAGATTTAATAAAAGAGGAAAATATATATATATATATATAGAGAGAGAGAGAGAGAGAGAGAGAGAGAGAGATGGATACCTAGAGAAGGTGAAGAGAACAACCTTGGAGAAGATAGCAGAGAATAACCCTAGCGAGAAGAAGATGAAAATAGTATCGTCGGATTTTTCACGTGAACGTGTGTTCTTTTTCCCTAATTAAGCGTGTATTATCTAAACCAGGGTACGTGAGTTGTATTAGTTAGTCAGGTAAGGAGAATATTAAAAACTCAACTCGTATAAAATAGTCAGGTAATTAAATAATACAAGTTGATACCAAACACCTGATATGGACTATTTACTCTTATCCAGAGTCTAATACGGTATACCAAACAAGCCCCAAGTGTTTTTATATCAATAGATACTTCCGTAAAAAGCATCATGTTTTAGGGGCCTCTGTGCGCAGCACAGCCCGCACACCCTATGGGCCAGGCTTGATGTCTACCTGCAAAGGGTGCAGAGACAAATGAGAATTTTGTGTTTTGAGACTTATATATATGTTTCTCTGATACCATTGTTTCTACATACATATGCTTGCCATTTACATAAATTTATAGCACTTGAAATTTTTTACCTCTTTTTATTTATTTATACAAGTTGCAACCCAAAATCTTAAATGATTAGCTCTCTCTGTTTTAATTGTGCTTACTTTTTGGTCTCTAGTACTTTTTCAATTGCATTGTTCAAATTTTATTTTAATTTATATAGGGTGATCTCGTTTGCACATTGTTCAAATTCAAAGATATTAGCGAACTTCTGTCAACCTGTAATCCATCAATTTTACCCTCACATTTAGGGATGGCAACGGGCCGGTTAGGGGCCGGGTATGGCAATACCATCCCCTTCCCCGCTCACCATCCCTGTCCCTGTCCTCGGCCCAATCCCCGGTTTAGACTTTTCGGGGAATCCCCGTCCCCGTCCCCGTCAGGGAAGTGCCTCCCATACCTGCCCCAATCCCCGGTTTTGAATAAGATATTTCTTGTTAAAATAATTTTCTAAAGCACAATCACATCATTGTGAAATTTTAAAAACCACCACCACAAGATATTTCTTGTTAAAATAATAACTCAACAAGCCAAAGAAGGTGGACACAAAACTTGAAATAATTTATATCCAAATCTTTAGAAACTTTTTCAGTAAGCACAATAAATCCATCTAGTCTCTAGGGTAACTTTGTTTATTACATCATATTAATATATATATTGATTATAAATAAATATATTACTTATTGGGCCGGGTTCGGAGATGGGGATAACAATCCCATCCCCGGTCGGAGATTTTGCAAATTCGGGGATCTCCATACCCGGCCCCGATTTCCCCCCGAAAACTCCCTCTGTTAGGGCCAGGGACCCGACAGGGACCCAACCCGACGGGTATTATTACCATCCCTACTCACATTGGAACAATTTGTAAACTGAAGGGGTCAAATTTGAAGCAATTGAAACAAAGGGACAAAAGTGAAACTTTGTGAAAACTACTGGGACTAAAAACGTATTTCTCCTTTGCAAATTAGTTTTCTGTTAGCTAGGCAAAGTGGATTTGATTTGATGTGTTCAGAGTATATCAGCCCATGCTATTACCTTTTATGAGGATTTCTACCAAATGCTCAGCTCATGGCCATTATCTTTTATAGTGATTTCCATCACATGCTTAGCCACATATATATTGTCAAATAGGTCGACCTATTTTAGGGATTACCCAACACGTATATTGAAAAGCTTTGAACACAAAAATATATCAATGCTATCCAATGAAATGAGAGATTTTTTAGGGTCCTTGGTCATGTCTTTATTTTTCTCCTTCTAACACTACACAAAAAAAAAAACAAAAGCCACACATATATGTACCAGAGGATAAATAGGTAAAAAGCCTATCCAAATCCAGTAACACAATTAGTAAAAATCTTATATATTCGTGTGAATTAGGTTGTAAGCCACGAACTCCATCTAGTTGAGTGTAAATCATTTTATTTTTTATTTTATGTTTTAAGTAAACAGTTGTGTATCTATATATATAAAACAAAAGGCAGAGAGAATGATAAAATATTTAAAATACCAGAAAATGCATCTTAGTGGGATCACCTACCTATGAGAGTATTTTACGAAGTTTTATTTATCTTGAAAATGAAACTAAACATAATTAAGCTGCATGCAAACTGATCATCCCAGCTTTTCTTCCTTGGTATTGTACTTGAAGTTGAAGGCATTGATACCACTGTAAAAACCATCGTCCAAGTCATTTGTGACATGCACCTGGCCGTTGCTACGAGTGTCCTGACGAGAGTAGGAGAATGGGACGTCACATGAAGCGGTCGTGGCCAGCAGCCTCACCTTCAGCACACTCTTTGCCGGCACATCAACCACGCACACAGTCTCCACTTCAGTTTGGTAGGCCTCGGTCTCTCCCCACTGGACATCTCCTTTAAACCCATCCGAAATTTCAACCTTATTCAATCCGCCTTCGTGTGTCGCGATTCTCGGAACGCCTGGAGCTTCAATGGTGGTTTTGAGCTTCATCGAGTAAATTCTGTTGATATCATTCCAACTGCAACTACTCAGCCTCTTGTACAACAACTTTAGGGTTACAGTGGTGGTTTCTTGGGTGAAGTTGACGGCCTCTGCGGTGGCGATTTCGAAGTCAGTTTGGTAATTGTAGGTCCTGGCGTGGTCAAGGCGATACTTAACTTTGTATATGGTCCTCGACTTAACAGGCTCTTCCACCTTGAGATGAGAGTATATGGAGAGATTAGGGACGTTGGCACTGAGAGCACATATCCCGCTGGCATATCTCTTGCAGTAATTGTTGTTCCCAACGTTAATGAGAGCTATGGTCTTGTCGTAAAGCTTGATCGCCTTATACAACGTGTCTTTATAGTTTTTGTCTCCGGCGGTCGGGTTAAATGCGTCCGCCCAGATCCACTCTTCCTTGGCGAGTCTCCAATATCTTTCGAAAAAAATATTTTTTATTTGTAGGGTTCCGTCCGCGTTCATGAAGATCTCGTTCGCCACACCCGGATCATTAATATCATTACCGTGGAACATAAGGTTTGGTCCGTCGGCATCGTCGTCGTCACTGTGGTAGTCGCTCATTTGGGCGGTGATGTAGTTGTCATCATCGCCCTTGAACACCACGTGTTTCGGCAAAATCACCAGCGATTCCCAATTGACGACAGTGCACACATCCCGGGACTCTAGGTTGTTAGGATCGTCTGTGGTAGAGTTTGTGCCTCCGAAAAGTACTAGCGCATCCGAATCGTTGTGCAAGCAAGTGTAGCGTCCGAGCTGGACGTGGCGAAATTGGACTACTTGACTGTCCTCCTCAAGGTCATCTTCAGCTTTATCGTCCGGTTTATTGTCGTCGTCTTCGTCGTCTATTGGATCTACGTAGACCGGCTCGAACAAGGTACATGAGGGTTTGGATTGGTCTTCCTCCGGTTCGTCTGCCCCTGCAACAATCAAAACATCGCCCTCGAACTTATCCATGCCATTGACGCTTACCCAGTATTTATTGTTGTACTTTGCGTAATGGCTCTCGGCCTCTTCTCCGGTGTATTTGAGAAACCCGGCGGGGGCGTCCTCCTCTCCATCTTCTTTTTTTAGGTAGCGCAAGTACTTTTTGTTGTGGTTTGATTTCACCACCACAAACCTTGGCAATGTCATGTTCTCTATTTCTGTGTATATCTCAATAGATCTCTAGTGTGCATGCAGCATCTTATTTATAACGAAAAGCCCGCACCGTCAATATTTATAAGAAGGGCAAAATTAGAAGAGATGGCTTCATGCATGGGCATACTGAAGGCAGTGATTTAGTTTCTCACATTACTCGAATAAAACTTTTTCAGCAGATGGGATGTCTGCAGACCATGAAATCATGTAGTGAAGTGCCATGCCGATCGACGCTTTTGTTGGGCTGTTTTTATATATATAGAAAATTTGGCACCAGTTTCTTTCAATAAAAGTGTTAGAACTTAAGGGAGGACTAAGTCAGTCTTTGTTGTTGTTACCAAAGTTAGAAAGGGAGAGGGGTAAAACTCACACACATGGGTACTATGTGGTTTGAACTCATGACTTTGAAGCACACCAAAGACTTGAGCCAATCCAACAAACACACCTTCCATTAGTGAAGACTACGTCAGTTAGTTATATAATTGTTATTACATTCAAAGCAAAGGCCGTAATTTTTGGATTTTTTTGTTTTTTACTTTGCTAAAATTTCAAGCAAAGTTCTTTCAGTTGTGCAAAATGAGAGGAACAATATTTGGTCTAGCTCTACTGTATTATTATCATTATGATTATTGTTATTATTTTGCTTAGGGACATGGTTAAGTTACAAAATGAGTAATTGTTCAGTGTGAAAGATCATACTGCTTCGTTGAGTCATTTTGGAGTTATTAATACTATATACTACCCGTGAAATAATAAACATGTGGTCCACACCCATATTATTTAACATAATAAATTAGTAAAACCACTGTTACCGTCACCAAGGGTGGCTCATAAATTTTAGGCCCCTGTGCATAATCATAAATGAGGTCTCCTTAAACAAAATCTTCAATGAAAATACTACAAAAGAATTGGAACATATATATTGATAACAAATTTAGAACTAAAAACTCATCACCATATGTTCTTTCGAAACTCTAAGAACATTTGGTCGGCTTCGTGACTCTTTTAGAATTCTTATCTAGTTAGTACGAGCGAACATTTGGCCCACATCTCAAAATTCTGAGATTCCTATTAAGATTAATGGTTTAATTTATATGATCACTTAGCTGACTGTCACGATCCCTTTACATGAGCTTATCTTCCCCTGTATTGTTGCTCCTAGTCAGAGTACACTAACTAGGAGCACACTCCATGGTATGGAACACTGTCTTGAAGAATCGCAACAACTGAAATCGAAGCCCAGAGATAAGTAGAACAGACGGAATGTGATGATCCTGGCATTAGGATCATTAGGGTTCGTGCGAGCCACACTATCTATCGAAGGCTCTGCCAACCTGACATGTACGTTACTCGGTATGACCGTGGCAAAGGTAGCGTGCCGCTTCTGAAAATGGGACTCAGTCATGATATGATGCAGGTTCGTCACAATCTCCTCTTAGGCACCTTGGAGCCACCCCATAGTCAGGCCATTGACGCACATAAGGAGAAAGACGTAGCAGCTGCCACTGTCGCTAGCCACCGATCACTCTAGCCACTCCATGCAATCACAACGATAACCAAACAGTCCCACGCCATATGGTCTTGGTGGCGAAGAAAAAAAAAAAAAAAAAAAACAAAAAAACAAGCATGACCTACCTGGTATACACAACAACTCCTTTACTAGACAAGCAGTTCACTCCTCCAATATCTCTCTCACAAGCTAGAAAGTAGAGGAAGACAAGTTTGCAACTTGAAGAGGAGGGAAGAGAAGCTTTGTATTTATAATAGTTGGGTATCCTTGACCAACGAGGAGTCACAAGCCAATTCCAAGAAGAAGTCAAAAGCCTACTACAATTGGAAGCCCAAATGCAGTTGGAAAGCCTGAAGCGTATTGATAAGTCCTAAATTTACACATTTATGTCCTCTTCATACTTTCTTTTTGTAGGAGAATTTGATTTAAAAAGGACTTATTACTTTATTTTCTTAATTTTCAGCTCCAGAGCAAGTAATTTGTTTTCAACGGAAATACGACTTTTTTGGTGGAGTTTTAGTACAACACCATGTAGGTGCTCTTAAATAGTCCCTCTGTCAAAAAAACTATTAAATCCAGGGATATAATTGTCAAATCAATCCAAAATTATAAAATATATATATTTATATATTTTATTTCCTTCTCTTCTCTCTATCTTTCTTCTTCTTCTTTCTCTCTGCCAGATTCTTTAGCAATGTCTATCAGTAAACAAATGAGATGCAGCCACAATTATGACATTCATTGATGCAGCCACAAAATAGATCAAATAAATAATCACCTTGCTCAGATGAATATCATGGATGGTTAAAAAGAATTCTGTATAGAAGGAGGGGGGGGGAGGAAGACTAAAGAATGAGTAACAAGGTTGAAGCTTAATCCTTTTCTGGTGGTTTCTGTTTGCAACTTCAGTCAATGACTTGTTGAAATATAGACGTTTAAAGCTCATATTTTTCTCCTAAACATATGGGTTCTGTTAATATTTGAGTATCGGATTTTGATTAGTTTGAAAAGAAAAATGTTTATTTTGTGGGGGACCCATATGAATAAGCACATGTCGTTTTAGAGACGCCTGACCTGATTCAAATGTAAATTGGGTACTTTTAATCACTTGTAAAATTCTTGTTGCTTGAATTGTCATATATAATATATTCCCAAAAGAGAGAGAGAGAGAGAGCGAGAGAGAGAGAGAGAGTAGCACAAGTGAACAAAAGCGCAGGTTGTTAGTTCATATCGAGAGTAAAGCATCTAAAACCAAGTTCTGTAACTTTAATTTGATGGCTGTATATGTTTTCTATGCTTGTTAATTTTTCATGAAGACCCAACATGAAAAACCATTTCCCCTGGCATGCGAAATTTATTTTACTGTATGCCAAAGCTGGAGGAGAACTCCCTGATACAAAGCCACATTGTGTTCTGATCCATGACCGAACCGTCTCCTCGCCAACTAGTTGGAAATACCGATGTTACTACATCAGGGTGTTCGTGGCCTCCTAATCAGAGACAATATACTTCAACGTATAACTGTAAGGCTAACAAGGTTGTAGACATGGAAATTTTAGTGAAATAAAAATTCACTAATTTACAGTCAAAACTCAAAATTTAAAATTTGACTAGTCAAAGAAAATTGGAAAATTCGTGAGTCCTACACAAATACATGTGGCATATGACTCACGCATACAAAGGTGTGCACTAGAGATGACACATGTCAGCATCTAAGAGCTTCATCAATCAAATGAAATTATATGCCAAAAAGGAATAAATTATCCTTATTTGGTTCCTAAATCATGAGTTAATTTCCCTAAATGAAGGATTTTGACTTAATTAAGAGTTAAATTAAATCAATTAGTTCAAATTAAATCAAATCAGAAATCAATCTCACAAAACAAGGGATTTAGATTGGGGATTCCAAATCAAGACCCAATTCTTTGCCTATAAATACTAGGCTCAAATTTGTGAGAAACGACCTGAAGAAAAAGAGGCACACACACTTTGGAAAACTTGAAAGCTCTCTACCGAAAGCAACACCTAGACTCTCAAGTTCTTCATCAAGCTCGAGGAGAATCACCAAGCATAACAAACACGTGCCGGTTCCTTCACCGCCAAAGTTGAAGACAATCCACCATGTAACACCCTGACTCCAAATTTGTCCCCTGTTTTAATTAATTTGAGCGAAATTAAGAATTTACCCGTGGGATAGGGGTATTTTAGTCATTTTCTTACCCGGAAGGAATTTGGGAATTCCGGATGTACCGTTGCGTAGAGCACGGCGAGATGAGTTCGTAGACACGTAGTGGGCTCGAATCGGAGTTGTAACGAGAGAGATACGATCCAAATACCCTCAGTGGCAAAACCGTAAATATTTTGAAATGGATTTTTGGTTAAAAGACGGAATTGCCCTTATTTCTCTCTCACTCTCTCTCCCGCGCGTCCCTCTCTCTCTCCTCTGGTTCGCCACCGCCACCACAGCCGGCCACGTTTTGGCCGGCCGTGCTCTCGTCCGGCCACCAAAGTTGACGGGGCCGGTACCAAAATGACCGGGCCGCCGTCCTCTTCCTACCCCAACCAGGTCTCGCCGTCAGCCGTCGAGATTTTGCCAGAAAATTGAAGAGAAAAGCTCGGTTTCGCCCGAAACTTCGCCGGCTTCGTTCTCCGTCGTCCGGCCGCCATTTTTGGCGATCAAGGTATGGAAATTCATCCTTTTTGCATGATCTAGCTGATGGTTGGGTAGGATTTCATAAATTTTGAGGCTAAGTAGCTCAATCCACGAATTGAAATTCGGCCGGTTTTAGGATCGCGATTCCGGCCACTTCCGGTCAGTTTTTGGGGTACGTCCAAGAACAAAAGTGACTCCAAATTAGGTGTATTACCTAGGGTAGGAGTCTTGGCTCTTGATTCGGAAGTTTTCCGGCGATGCGATATCGCTTTGGACACCCATGCGCTGCCGGCGCGTGGGCACTGTAGCTGAGGGGCATTTTTGTCCCAATGTGATCCTCTCGATGTCACGAGCGCGTGGGTGTGCTCGGATTTCAATTTGGATATCGTTAAGAGTCCCGAACGGATATCGCATATCTCGTATTTTCCGCGTTCGCTAGGTTTGGACCGTTGGATGGTCCTGAAGTTATAATATGTTGATCTAGGTATTACCAGGATCGTGTAGGATTCGACGGATCGTAAAACGGAGTCCCAGATACTCCAGAAATGCCAACCCCAGGGTTAGAGTTTTAGTAATCGTCCGATCCTGCGATCGTGAGCAATCCGACCGTCCGATCTGGACCGAACTTGCAGGACATGTGTTCTAGACCCTATAGAACCTATAGGAATTGTCGGATCGGAATCTGGAAGTTGTGGGCCCCGCAGGCCCGTTTGACCCTAGGTTGACCGTGAGACTCCCGAGATAGTCTTACCTTTCCTTGAGGGTTAGGATGACCTTAGTGACAAGTCTTGAGCGTTGTTGAGTTACATGGATATTGTGGGTTTAGGATATAAATTGATGAATTTAAATGGGGGAGTTTATGGAATGCTTTATTGGTTGAGGTTTATGTAAGATTAGAAATTATATTATATGTTTAATTAATGGTGGGGATGTGTGAAAGTATATAAAGGGATCGAATGTTAGTTTACAGTGCTATACGCACTACCCCACGTACCCCCCATATTGTGATTATGTTGACAGACCCCATACGTGGCCGGGTGCGTCCCGACGTATGAGGGGAGATATGATTGTGTGAGGGATGGTGAGAATGTAGCCAGGCCCAGTGTGAGGTCGCACGCGTCTTTAGATTAGCCGGCGTGTTGACAGACCCCATACGTGGCCGGGTGCGTCCCGACGTATGAGGGGAGATATGATTGTGTGAGGGCTGGTGAGAATGTAGCCAGGCCCAGGGTTGAGGTCGCACGCGTCTTTGGATTAGCCGGCATGTAGACAGACCCCATACGAGGTCGGGTGCGTCCCGTCGTATGAGGGGAGCTATATGATTGTGTTTGGTGTGTTGAGATGGATAAAATCCTAGAATGTATGAATTTGCATGGCTGTAATGGTTTATTTGATATTAGGAGCCAGGATTGATAGGAAAGAGCTACGTGTGGCTTGATCCCTTAGTAGGGTACGTAGGCAGCCTGGGATAGCGCCTAGGTGCAGCCACGGCCTAGACACCACTTAGGTGGTTTTATCGAGTATGATGCGGACCTCGTGGTTGGTTCCGACACTTGGATGAATTGAGGATGGTCCGGTGGACTGAGTGAGCGAAGGTGTGCATAGATAGATTTTGAATTGGTTATGTGCATGTTTGATGCATTAAGTTATTTTAAAAACAGTGTGGGCAGTTCTGTTAGAATCATTTGAAGGCCGGAGGCCATTTATGTAAATTGCATGAGATTATATTGTGCATGCTGCTGGTTGGGTTATAAAATGTGTTTTATGCAGATGGAAATTTTGGGGAATGTTCAATTTACAGGGGAGACTCTGCCGAAATTTCGGCAGAAAGTCTCGTGCCCTTAATCCTCTTTGGTAAAAGAGGACATAGTTTTAAGGAGTGAACCCGGCATGGGTGTGATGCCGAGGTCTCCGCAGGGTTCGTCTTGGGTTCTGGGAAATTCGGGGCGGGTCCTGTCACACCATGTGACATTACTCATGATCATGGCGTGTTCGAGATCAAGCTGTAACAGCCTTTGACGGAGTCTTAAATTTCGATTCAAGATCAAGTACGCTTAGGACCTTGAACCACACACACTTTTGGAGATCAAATCAGAGTAAATTCTTTTATTTTTGTAAAAGAATACCCACAAAGATTGTAACATACACACTTGATAAATCAATACGAATATTATTTTGTACACGTGTTCTTGTCTCATTTGTCGCAGGATTTTCATGTTTACGAAGGTATCCGAACTGAGTTTCTGAGTCGACTTGAGTATCTAAGAGTGGCCGGAATGGCTTTTGGTGAAGCTTAGTGCCCGTTTGGCATTGTTTATTTGGGGTGATACGTGATTTTTTAAAATTTTTGGGAAGCCCAATCCGTTTGGTAAACTATGAGAAAATCACTTATTGTTGAAAATTCACTACAAGAAAACAGGCCTTCTGTGAAGACGAGTCGTCATCACTTAAACATGTAAATTCGTCACAGTTGACAATATGTGACGCATTTTCGGCGTCACAAGGTTCGTCACCTATACCCCGTCACAGATTTTTTTACGTGACGAATTTACGATTCGTCACATACGGGTTCTATATGTGACGAATGTTTTGTCACATATAGTACCTTTGCACAAGGCATCTTTCGTCACTTATTGTATCTATCAGTGACAAGCCGCATTGGTCACATTTCACAAGTGTCAGTGGGGAGTTGTTCCTCACATATTTATGAAAATTGTGGGGAGTTGTTCCTCATATATTTATGAAAATTGTGACAGTGTATGTCTCACATATAATCTAACCAGCATTCAATTCAATTAAATTCAACTCGATTACTACCATTCCCCATTATATTCTTTTCTTGTATAATATAGGAAAATAATACATTCAAGATCCCCAAAATTTCACAAGTAAATTGAACTCAAATTTCATTCCATTACACCAAAATAATTACGTTGTTTGATATACAATAGTCTGAACTACATGTTTTTTTTCTTCTCATAACTACAATGTAATTTTTCTACAACTGAGGGCATGTTTACGTATTAGTAATGGGTATGGAAGGAAATGAAATGATTTCCATTCCTGACTTCTCCTGCGTTTACTTACAATCAGGAATGAAAAAAAAGTGGGCCCCATCTCAAAATCCGTAATCACATTCCCTCAAAACTAGGAATCAGATCAACTAGGGGGGAGTAGTCGATACGATTCCCATTCCTGTTTTCTCTTAATAACTTCCAAAAATACCCTTATCACTTTACCATAATTCTAAAATTAATTTGGATTCTGATTTATGCAAATTAGTAAACAATAACAATGGGAATCAATCTCATTCCATTGCTAATTCCATATGTTTAGTAAACAGCTTAATGGGAATGATTCTTCCCATACCGATTCAGTAGTTCTTCGATTCCTAAATTCTTTGATTCCTTAGTTTCTCCATTACTGATACGTAAACATGCCCTGAAAGTAATGTTGTCCCAAGATGAAAAAGAGTTGAACCAAATTGCAAACGATCCTCAACGACAACCAAAAAGAACGGATATTTTTGGTTCAACTGTCATAAAAAAGAAAAATGGTCATAAAAATGGATATAGAAGATATAAAAGGGCAAATTACCATTGGGAATTCATTGTTTGCCTAAAGATTTGTGACATTAAAACACTAATTAGGCAGATCAAATAACTCTCATTCTGCTCAGTGTATGCCAATAGCTTTTTTCAAGAGAAGGTAACTTGTGAATCACCTGAATATAGAAAAATGGTCGTTAGGGTTTGGCATCCAAGTATGCGCAGAGGATCTTGCTTAGGGTTGTCCAGGAGCTCAGTAACCACATTCAGCAGACTGACTGCAAAATATGCCCTGAAAGATGCAAAACATATTCAATACAACACAAGAATTTTATGCAAAAATTAATTCCTTCTTTTTAACAACTTTAAAGACACTGCAGTGAAAAGAAAAGGAAGAGAGACAGAGAAGAAAATTTGAAGGACACAAAACAAACAATAATAAACCGAACTTTCTACTAAAATAGCATATATACAATACCAAAGCATCTCCTAAAATAGCACAAGTTCAATGCATAAGAAATATAAATGGTTCGTTGCCAAAATAAAATAGCACACAACTTCCACCTAAAAGTGGAATTGTGACTTGAATTTGGAATTTCCCAGCCAATCATACAAAAGCCATAACTAAACAACAGTAGTTTCGTCCAAGAGATTAAGATTAAACAGATCTTTTCTCCACTAAAACTCACTAATAGACTTCTATAACAAATTAAATGGTAAGAAAAGAAAAGGGAAACAGCTAAGACTTACATCTGCTCTTTACACAGGCAAAGCAACTTGTTGTAAGCCTCTGCAACAATATTGATGAATTTGATGTGCTCTAGTCTTAGCTCTTTGTAACACCTATCTTCAAGATATTTGGCAATCTGTTGAAAAAACAGGAGCATGGGAAAAGGACATAAATAAATGGGATTTTTAGCCTCACCAGTTGGCTATTAAATTATGGCAAGCTAACTTTTACTGAACCAAAAAAATAAAGAAATAGGGTAAAAGAATTCATACCTTTGGGATTCGGAAAGGATTTTTGGCAGCATACTCACATAATTTAACAATTTTCCTTTCATTGGGAGGGCCATCCTGGACAATTGTGGACACTATTAACTTCAGTATTCCAGCTATTGGTAAGAAAAGCATAAATAGTATAATAGTTATTCATCTAATAGTAGATTAGCGAATGATTCCTTGAGAAGCATGCTGTGTCACTTGCTGCTCATCAAAAAAACGTTCACTACTGACCAATTTTGGCTTATTTGACTTCTTGGTACCAAATCTCTTACACCGTATAGATAGGATAATTTTCTCTTGCAAACAATCAGCTGTGTTATTCTGCTAAACTCTGAATTAAGATAACATTATAACACATTTAGACATGATGTGTCTAATTTATGGTCTTACTTCATAGTTTGACAACATACTGTGACAGTCTAACAAGAGAACATTACCATACACACATAGGCACATACATCATGTGTTACGGTCATAAATGTACCACTTATTATACACATGAACCAATTTCTACAAGCAGCTACAAGTTTTTGGCTAGTCAACAGAATTTATATTCTAATGAGTGCTATGCTATGATGTTTATGTATACAAATAAAATGTGATTGTCCAATGTAAGGCAATGCATGAAAATAGTGTCACAAATGTAAACCAGGTTAATTCAATTTTTATGCTACAGAAGAATAAAAGTGGATTCAAACTTCAGTTAGTTCACCATATAGTTCAGTAATTGGCTTACTAGTAACTAAGAATTGCAGTAGATGGGCACTAACCATGTTGCAAGATGTAGCCAGTCGATGCTGTTCCAAAGACGCCAGAGAGCACTCCTGCAGTATTGGACAGACCAAGCAAGACACCCTGAGAAACAATTTGAACAAGAAAATTAGACCCATCTGTTCAGCATCTAGAATTCCTCTACAATCAGAAAGCATACATTGGCACGTGATTGATGGGCTTATGTACTTGGAACTCTCAGTAAGATGTCTAATTACGCATAAGAAATTTCCATATATGCAAGCCAAATTAGAAACTAAAGCCAATACTCACAGAATATCGTGGAGCAATATCTTGATGGTTCGAATATAGACCAGATTGTGAGAATGCATCAGTTCCCTATTTAAGCAAGAGAAACAAAAACCAGTTAGCTAAAAGATAGAAAATAATAAAATGAACAAAAGAACTGTTAAGCAATTGTATAAAGCTTCCAAAAGAAGGAAGAAGAACATATATTTATTTTTCTCATTCCATGTACTGCAAGAATCATACCTGACTGCATGCCATACATAGAACAGCCATTGCAGGAGAATTAATATGGCTCAACTGAGTGAGGAAGAAAGCAGGTCCAAGAAACCCCCCTCCTTTTAGTCTCAACACATTAGCTCCAGCTTCAGCAAAACTCAGTAGCAATTCATGTATCACCTCCTGAAAGGGGGAAAAAAACGATTCAGCTCTTTCCCAAGACCCCAAAGTAAAGCCCCAATTCACTTCTCTAACCCAGATACAAATTAACACGAACCCTAATACCCAATTCACCAAATTACATAAAGATTTCAAATTTATAGTAAGAGAGAACTCATATCAGAAACTCAATTGAAAATCAAAATAAAATTTGAAAGGTTGTTTCAGCTAATACAAGACAGAGCAAGAGAGAGAGATAGAGGAAGACCAGTGGTCGTCGTCGCCGGAGAGGAGGAGTGGTCGTCGTCGCCGGTGGTTTGTGGATGCGAGTGCAGCTAAGCGTTGGGTTTTGTTCTTGGGCTAGTGTAGATGACGATGAAGCATTTGACTTACGTTGAATGAAGCGTTAGGTTTTGTTTTTATTTTTTTATATTTTGGGCCATAAGTGACGCTAGGGGTGGTTGCGGTTACCATACCGCAAATTTTCAGAGAAACCGCAAACCGACCGTGATTTTGTGGTATTGACATATTTGATACCGCATCCGTCTGAGAAAATGCGGTTAACCGCAATGCGGTTGACCGAGAAATGCGGTCGGTGTCGGCAAAACCGCAAAAACCAAACGGGGGTGGGGAGAGAGCTATGTTGTTGGTGAGATTCCCGAGCCGCAGAAGAAGGCTCTTGAGGAGCTCAAGCAACTCATCCAGGATGCCCTCAACAAGCACGAGTTCACTGCTCCGCCCACTCATCGCTACGGCAACCCCTGTGGCCGCGAACAGTGGATAAACCTACACGTACAAATACGACATACATCAGATTTACAGCCTGACCTAACAAACAAAATCAAGGCCGATCTGCGCGCAAAATTAAAGGGAAATTACAGGGTACGGGCGGATCTGAGCCTACCTCAGGCCTCAACCAATGATTCGGAGCCATTGATTGCGCGTACGGTACAGGGATTTTTCGAGAAAAAATGCTGCAGTTTCTCTGAAAATTTGCGGTAAGGCCGAAGAAGAACCCAAAGCTGAAGTTGCTGCTGCTGAAGAACCAAAAGCAGTAGAAAAAGCCAAAGATGAAGAGAAGCCCAAAGAGGAAGCTAAAGAAGAAGAGAAGCCCAAAGAAGAAGAAGACAAGCCAAAGTGGAAGAAGAAGAGAAGCCAACCGAGACAGTGGCTGAAGTTCCTAGAGTTCTTTTTAAATATATATATATTTTTTTTTATAGAACAGACATAAGGATACAGACAATAAAATGCAATAGTATACTTAAAGTATAGCCGTGCGGCTATACTTTGCGGTTTGCGGTAACCGCAAATTTTGAAAATCGAATACCGCAACCGCAACTGCAAATGCGGTTCGGTTTTTAATACCGCAAATGCGGTTCGGTTTACCGCGATCTCGGTTTTATTGCGGTAAATTATCGGTTGGTTTTTGCGGTTTTTCAGTTTTTCGGTTTTTTCGGTTTAAAATGCCACCCCTAAGTGACGCTGCCAATCTCCACCCAATAAAATTTTCAATCCTCACGTTCATGCTCTGTGACGAATGTGTATTATTTGTCACATTTAGTAAAATTGGGCGCCAAGATTTCCCGCTATGTAATTTGTGACGACACCGAAATTATAATGTGACGAAGATGTAGCGAAAATTTTGTTAGGTCCTTTCAAGACGTTTAGGTGACGACTTGCAAAATTTTCTCACTTATACAAGCCAAAGGTGACGAAATTTTCAGCGTCACGTAAAATTTGGTCACAGAAGGCCTGTTTTCTTGTAGTGATTGCGTCAATATCAAAACACAGCTGTATCAATATCAAATGTAATGTACTAAAAAAAAAAAAAAAAAAAAAAAAAAAAAAAACAAGGAAAAAGGATACTAAATTTTAGGTGAGAATTGCGTCGTATATCAAAAGACAAGTACTTCTACTTTGGCTATGAGCAATGGGTTGCTTTATCATATCATATATGTTTTCCAACTTGGAAACCCATTCATACTCAGTTTTGCAGCTGACCATCCGTGTGGCTTTCCTGGGTTTCGTGCCTTTTGATGTGTATGTCAATAAATATAATATGAAGAAAAATTCAAGCTACCCCATACTTTCTAGAGAAAGAGAACAATTTTACCAAAACATCAGGTATAAATTTTAAATCAAAAATCAAAACAATCAAGCAATCACACAGCCAAGACCGAAAAACAAACAAAAAAAAAAAAAAAAAAAAAAAAAAGGCAAAACAACACACAAAAAAAGGGGAAGAGAAAAAATTATCAGCGAAACAAACAACAAAAAATCAACTTTCCATCAACTTTCCACGTACGATTTCAAATAGGTAAGCTCGTCAATGTTCTACATCTTTAAAAGAGAAAAGTAATCTGGCATAGGATGTAGAAGAGTTTGTATTTTTCTAAAACTTAATTTGAAGAGTTGTGGGGTGTGTGGGGTGTGTGAGGTGTGTGTATAGATATACTAAGGTTAAGTATTAAGTTGGATGACCTTTTTGGTCTTTTTACACAATAATAAAACTTGCAGCTTAATGATTTAAGTATTGGGGTGAACTAAGAGCAGTGTGGGGTTTAAATAGAAAATTTCTAAATTTTTTTAAAAAGGGGCACATTCAAAGGAAAAATCCCAACAAAAGTTGACCTTTTCCTTTCCAAATTTGATTTGCAAGTGAGAGTTTACATCATCTAGAGGAGAAAACCTTCATGCAATGGATTCTTTGTCAATAACGCAATGATACGTGGAATAACTTTTTCACATGTTATAGTATTATTGGTCAAAAATAGCACATTGCAAGTAAGTTTTTTTTTTCATCCGGAGAGCTTCCTATCGGGCAATGGCCTATGGAATTTGAACCAAATGGTGCCCTTGGAGTTGAGAGAGTTGAACCCAAAAGACTTGTCTCCTACTCTTAACAGCAAATTTTGTCCTAAGCCTATGGAGTTACTACACTGTCCATATATCAGCAGATCAATACGTAAATATGACAAAGCAAAAGAACATTTTTGACGCGTAGAACCTTCGGATAACCTAGAATATGACGTATATGGCAAGTTTTGAACGGAAAAGGTTCCGTAGGAGACCCAAGTACTTGTGCCTCCTGCCCTTGAAACATATGCCTGCTGCAATTGAAAACAGGGACATTTTGGAAAAAGCAAAAAGGAGAGAGAAACATTTTAAAAGAAGCAAAAATGGACAAAAATGCCCTTATTTATTTTTAGATTTCCTAAGGAATCCAATACATTTGCATGTCTTTGATTTGAAAGTTGAGCGGTTTTTTTGTCTTTTTTGAAAAAGCTTTGGCTTTTTCCAAAAGTGAAATTTTTTTTATGTCTAAAACCTAAAAAATCTTTGAAAAAAAACACGGTTGAATTTGAATTGATTGAATGCAAATTGCAATGCATGATGGCTTCTTTTCTTTTCTTTGGACCCATCCATAAGCCACAGACTGTCGAAATAAACAAAAAGTTAAAAGCTTTGAGCCGCGTCGAAATAAACAAAAAGTTAAAAGCTTTGAGCCGTTTGTGTAATATCCATGAAGCAAAAGTTTTTAAAACTTAATTTAAAAGAGATATATGATTATATAATAATATATATACATATTTTAAAAGAGATATATGGCCCCAAAATCTCAATTAAATACACCCCCTAATTTCCTCTATACTCTTGCAAAAAAAATGAAAACTAAAAACTAAAATTGAAATGGTTATCAAACATTCCCTAAATAGATCGGTACCGGTGAAATTGAGCCTTGCTTTTTTTATTATCTTTATTTTTAAAGAATCTAAAACACAGGCTGGCTAGCTACGTGAGAATTTGCAGAGATGGTGATATGTGAATTACCATCATATATATATGGGCAACAAGATCCCTGGTGTAAACCACATAGCATGCATATGGTTGATATATGAGTGCTAAGAGTTAAACTAAAAATGAAAAGGACAATGAAATTGCTTAAAAGTGAATTTGACGCACTTTTTCATTTTACAAAAATAGAGTGATATATAAGTATGTGTATGCACGCATCTTATATGCTAGCTAGGTAATTCAATTTTTTTTAATTACAAGAAGCAAGTTATATATGCATTTCATTTCCAAAATTTTTGTTGGCTTTATTTTCTTATTTTATAATAAGTCAAGGATCTGAGGTGAAGACTAGGAGCCCAATCAGTTGACATTATGTATATATAATGTGCGGATGTCCGGATGAGAGAAAAACTGTATTGAATGGTTGCCGTAACATATATATAGAACCAAAATCCTCCTTGCCAAAAATTTAAACTGCAAGAAATTTTATTGGTATAAAAACACTTCTCTTGTCCATTTTTTCTACTGATCAAAACTGTAATCATGGACCACACAGCACCAGAAACGTCTGCAGAAGATGAGGTAAGGAATAAAACCAGCCAGGATAAAGCCAAATATGACGTGCGTGAAAGGCAAGAAGGCAAAACTTCAATTGAAGCTTCCCGGAAGGAGGCCAACGGAAAAATGTGAAATGTGAACAAAGAACGCCTTTGTTTAATGGAGACTTTGACCCAACAAAAGTCTAGAGTTTTGGTCCCAGATGTTGACTTGGAAATTATGAATGGCAAGAGTAATGGCAGGTACGTCTGGTTTTTCACTGATATAGACAGTTATCCAAGCGGAATTGGAATCTCAGTTAACTGTCGTCTTTTTTTTTAGGTCTCGTGCTAAATTTCATATCATTCTGGTTACTACACTGTCCGTATATCAGCCGATCAGTATGTGAATATGACAAAGCAAAAGACTATTTTTGACGCGTAAAACATTCGGATAACCTAGAATATGACGTATGTGGATTGAGGTGATGATTAAGGTGTCCCCATGGGTGCGTGCTAGCTGTCCCACGTTTCCCATATATCCCACACCTCCTAATCCATCATCATCTCCTCATGCCCACTCTTTTCATTTTCATTTTGATTTTGATTTTGATTTTTTTTTTTGGTAAGTATTAAACCCCATGCGATCATGCGATCATCTAGAAGTAATATACCCCATGCGATCATCATCTAGAAGTAAACTAAATTTCAAACCTGATTTTGAGACGCGTTTTAATGCCAAATTTCCTTTAATATATCATTCTTTCATCATCTAATATACTCCATGAATCAGACTCACCTTCCTTCGACAAATTCCAACTTCAGTCCAATTGTGATTTTGAACTTTTTCTTTGCCCGAGGGAGGGGGCCCGGGGGGAGTTTGAGTTATAAGTTGCACCTACAACATAGTCCACATGCTTTTATTGCAAGCCGAAGAATTTTGTGGCATGCATGTTAATTGTCGGCAAAGATTCATTACGTTCTGTATAACCTTGTATCTCATCAGCCCACATTAGAGATTTAGTCGGTGCTGGATCTTAGCCTTAATTATCAACATAAAATTGCTTTATTCGGATTTCAATGAGTTCCACAATTAAAAATTTTATATCGTGATGAGCTTGATCAGTCAAGACTATAGCAGTTTTTAAATAGTGTAGTTTAAGTAGTTAAAAACACTTATCCATGCACTCAAAGTCATAGATTCAAATTCACCTCTTCCATATCGCTTATATCAACAAAAAAGAAAGAAAAATAGAACTTTTTATTGGAAGAGATTGTTTTTCTCCCAATTGTTAAGAGTACGAAGTTAACATGGCATTCGCTTCTTCTTTAGAGCATCCCACGGGGGTGGGGGGGGGGGGGGGGGGGGGTGTGTATTTTAGAGGGGGGAACGGTTATAAACATTTCCCCTTTATACCTCTGGGGGATGTAAATACGTAAATCTAAGATGTATAATTTTTCCTCTCTTTTCTCAGGTGAGTTCTACCTGCAAAAGATGTAAAAATAGATGTAAATGTGCATTTTATTTTACATCTTCATGGTGGTAATGTATGTTTACAACCCTTTACATCTCCCTATTGGAGATAATTCCGGTAACAAAAGA